ATATATTTCTCCATCAAACCTCTTAATAAATGTATGGCTTCCATAGTCGACCTACCTAGGGGTGTAAGTGAGCCGAGCCGGCTTGAAACAATAATATTTAGGGTATTTTAAAAAATATATGACAGCCGGCATATAATATGAGATTCAAACTTTGCTTTTAATGTTAAATGTTGCTTTTAATGTTAATTTATATAAATTCATTGCATCGTTTCAAGTGAAAGCTGATTTTTATTAAATGCAAAGTGTCCTTTGCAACTTTTCATTATGACAGCTTTTTAATATGACAGCCTTTTCAAAAAAAAAAAAAAAAAAAAACATGGCAGGGCGCCATTCATAGGCGGGAAAAAAAGGTGGCCGAAAAATTAAAAAATCTGATGGATGAGAAATCGAGCGGCTCGCGAGCCGGCTCGAGCTCGTTTATAGTTTAACGAGCTCGAGCTCGAGCTCGTTTTCTGAGCTCGACTCGACTCGACTCGTTTACACCCCTAGACCTACCCGGCATGAATCCAAATTGATTTTCAGAAACATTAGTATTACGCCGCAACCTATGCTCCATAACTCGCTCCCATAGTTTTAAAGTATGACACATTAACTTAATTCTTCTATAATTCTCACAATCTTGTGCATCACCTTTATTCTTAAAAATAGGAATTAACACACTCATTCTCCACTAATCTGACATCTTTTTAGTCTTCAAAATAGTATTAAAAAGTTTAGTAAGCTAAGAAATTCCTTCATCTCCTAAGCATTTCCACACGTCTATTGGAATATCATCAAGTCCAACTGCTTTTCCACCCTTCATTTTCTTTAAAGCCTCTCTAACTTCGGTTTTACTAATACGCTGATAAAAACAAAAATCTTTATTTTCATTTAGGGTGCTAAGGTTACTATAGTCAACCTTATTTTCACAATTTTCATTAAAAAGTTTAGCAAAATATATCATCCACCTTTGTTGAATACCCAAAGGTTCTTAGATGCTAAAGTGAATATCCTTGATGAGATTAAAATTTCAAACCAAAAAAATAGTCCATGGAGGGGCAGATCACTTCTAGAAGGATTCAAATTTTGATTTTCTATAAAGAAACATGTATTGGTGAGTCATAAAATTTTGATAAACTTCTTTGATTCAATGCTCAGCAGTAAGTAAACAATGAAATAAATATTTATCGACTCCAGAATCAAGGAATTTTGTAGTTTTCTAAATTGATTTAGAAGCTTTCAGTCAATTTCCAGATTTTCTAAAGATTTACATTGGTTCTTAGATGCTAATGAGAGTATTCTTGCTGAGATTGGAAGTCCAAACTCAAAATATAGGCTTAGTTTGGGACGGCTTTCTTGCTGTTTTAAAGAAATTTTGTATTAAAAAGTTGCATTAAGAAACAGTAAGAAAGTCATCCCAAACGAAACCCATAGTCTACCAAGGGACCGGACACTTCAAGAAGGATTCACATTTTAATTTACAAAAACGAAGGCATGTATTATGGAGTATTACATTCAAATATCCACCAATTCTATCTACATGTTGGAATTGGTCGTATGGATGAGGAATTCAATGAAGTTTTTGAATGCTTGGCTCATTTTGGGATGAATTCCTATCTTTATGTTCAATTTTTTGGTCTATATGGCATTTTTAAATGTTACAATGAAAGCAAATGGGTGTTAAAAAAAAAATCATTTAGTCAAAACCTCTCCTTCTCTCTCTTCCTACCTTTTCCAAATCATTGAAATAGAGGTTGTTCATCCCCCCACCTCTCTCTCTCTCTCTCTCTCTCTCTCTCTCTCCCTCCCTCATCTCCCTCTTTCCTGGTCCTGTCATGTTGCTATCGATCAAAGAAGGAAACGAGGCATCCTATCCATTTGCATTTTAAGTTGTGGCTACCAGCATCTAGAGAAGAATATGAGCCTACCTTACTACTTATCCTAGTTGATTCATCATCCTAATCGCGACTTACCTCGTAGCTAATATCTAGAATCAATAACTTTAAAATAAAAACAAACACAAGAAGTCATGGAGACTTCTGGCCAAAGATGGGGGAAGAACGTGGAGATGGTTTCCATGGGGGTTTAGCATATTAAGATAGTGTCTTAATGCTGTATTTTGCCTAGTAGATTTACATTCTTATGACATTGCTGATCTCAATTGCGAACACATCCGGCCACTCGTATTGGTCATTATTTCACTAATAGCTCGCTTGTTGGGACGCCCTAAACTGTTAAGAAGCCTTTGTCATATAATTACAAATTCCTCAGGTTTATAGGCGATACTCAATTACACATCAAATACCCGGTGACTTTTCAATCCATTTGGAAGGTTTTTGACAAAAACCCTGTCTTGATTATTTTGGATCAAGTCTAAACAATCTAACACACAAATACAAACCTAAACGTGTATATGTAGTTAGACAAGTATAGTAACAATGATAAGAATGTGATGCTATAAGCTCTCCTATTAAATTTGCATATTATATCCAGACAAGATCAGTAATATTAATGAGAGGGTGATAATACTATGAGCTTTCTTAGTCAATTTGCATATTATATCCATATATTATGTCTAAATTATATAAATTTTTTTTTCAATAAGTATGAAAAAATGCTTAAATTTTAACCTTCAAAAGTTTAATTATTATATTCTCATTATTGAGAAATACTCCTTTGTACTTCTCATTTTTATATGCTAAAGTTGGATTTATTAGAATAAACTTAGCAAGTTGTAATTACATAACTATATTTTTCAGGGCTTTGATAGTGTACAGGCCAGTAACTTATTATAGAAGTCTCTGAAAAACCTTCCAAGACTTTATATAGTTTAAGCAGTAAAGTCATGTCAATCACTATTCTTGTACTCATTTTGATACCCATATAGCTGTTTTTCTATAAATGAGGATGTATTCTTTAATTGATCTTAGTAGTTCTAAATCGTAGAGGGAGATCTGATGAGAATTTTCTCTACCCCAATGTATCTTCTTAAATCAGCATCAATACCAAATGCTTCAACTAAAATTTTCATCCTGCCGTGTCATTTTCATTCGATTTGACTTATGTTAAGAAATGTAGAGGTAGACCAAAAAAGACTTGGTTAGAAAATATTAGAAATGATCTTTCTTTATTAGATTTAATCGAGAGTTTGATTTTTAACAAGACGCAATGGAGAAAAAAGATCCATGTAGCCGACCCCACGTAGTGAAACAAAGACTTGATGTTGTTGTTGTTGTATAAAACTAATATCCTCTTACATATACATATACTAAAATATCAAAATTCACAATAAAATTTTAACTTATATTTTTTGCCTTTTATCATATTCCTGACGATTTAATCATGATATGTGTAACAAAATGAATTTAGCAGTAAAAAAAAAGGGCTATTAGTGGGTTTTGGTAAATATATCCCTTTTATTTTGCACCCAAAGAGTGCAAAGTGGCAACAACTTGCAATATTCTTACAAATCAAACTAGTTAACACCCACCACTATTGTATTTAGTTTAGATGCTTGATTATGCCATTGTTCTGTTGGCTTTGCAGGCCATTCCTGGCATGCTTCTCGCTTTGGTGCTTTGTTTCGATCATCGAAAGAGCAAAGAAAACTCGCTGGACTTAACCTCCAAAGGACACAAATATGTTTGGTTTGCAGTTACTGGGTATGCAGTTGGTCTGGTTGCTGCTTTAGCTGCTGGGATCCTTAGTCAATCTCCTCAGCCTGCTCTTCTTTATCTGGTAAACCTTCTATACTTGTCTTATACTAAGGAAATTGTTATTTATTTTGTGTGTGTACTGTCAATGTGCAGGTACCTTCAACTTTGGGACCTGTTATTGTTCTTTCATGGAGCAGAAATGAATTAACTGAGCTGTGGGAAGGTCCAAAACTGATGCCAAATGACAAGGCTCACTCAATGGAGGCTTGAAACCTGGAACTATCAGACTTTTTTTTTTTTTCTTAAGGAACAAAAATGTACTATTTAATATCTTAGTATTAATTTATGAATATTGTTATTGCAAACTAGCTGTGTTTTTCAATTAATATTTGATCTTTTGGAAAGGGTTATTAGTTTTTTTTTTTTTATTTGATTTCAAACAGGCAATTTTGGAATATATATATATTCTTATTCATTTTTATAGTTTTTTTAATGAAATTAGGCATTTTATGCAAATAAATAAATGAAATGAAATAATAGTAATTAATCAAGGAGAATACTTTTTAGGGAGATGTACATACCATTTTATACCATCTTATTTATATATCTAACATTTGAAATTTTAATATTATATATATACTACCTTATATTATTTTAATATCAAATATTCCACTTATATTTCATTTCTACTATTCATTTATTTTATTTCTATCATTCATATTGGATATGAAAGTGAGCTATGAGTGGTATGCATGTAATATTAAAGTTTTAGGTGTTAGATATGTAAATAAAATAGTATAGGATGGCATGCATGCAAATCTCCTTAATTTTTAATATAAATGATGTGATTGAGCTTAATTTGAGTTAAATAGTAATTTGTTCTTATAATGGTCGATTGATTTGTTGAAAAAGAAATGTGGAGTTTAAGTATTGCAAAATGAAATATATTTTAAGCTTACACATATCATATAGGTAAAATTTTGAATTTATATCTCTTGGTTTGTAGAAAATATGAAAAAAAAAAAAAAGAAGAGTGAGAATTTTATAGAAAATGTGAAAAAAAATTATTTAGAAAATAAGATAAAAGATACTTCTAAATTATTCGTTCAGAACTCTTCAATAGCTATTATTTTATTATTATTTCAAGAATTTTTGTGCTGCAACGTTAATGCATGATAACTGTAATTTTTTTAATTTAGATAAAATTTAATCACAAATTATTGCAAATAAATTTAATAAATATTTGAGATCCTTTGATGAAAAATGAAAAATCAAAGCTTTTAACTCTCTTATTATTTTTAAAAGTATTTATAATACTCATAATATTTTGTAATAAAAATTGTCACAATAAATCTTAAATTTATATTCATTTAATATTTCATCCTAATTTGAATAAAGAACTACATCTCGTTTTTTTTTTCCATTTTATTTTATCAAAAATAAGTAATAATTGCCAATGAAAAGCCAAAAAAGCTTCACGACCAAATCAAAAAAGAGTTTGTCTGAGCCCGGGTTCGAACCGGGGACCTCTAGTGTGTGAGACTAGCGTGATAACCAACTACACCACCCAGACACAGAAGCAATGCTTGCATGATTTTCAAAACATTTATTTAAAACAAATGTCAGAACATTCTAGAATTTTATAAGGGGAAGAGCATTGGCTTGGCTACACTAATAGAATTTTAATTTGAAATTCTGATAACAATTTAACTTATTTTTATTGTTGAAATATTATAAAGCTCCAATTTTTCTCAAGTGATTCATGAAAATAATAATATACATCATATTAATAATTTAAAATTCTTGATATTAGACTCCTTAATAAATCTACATATAAAATTAATTTTTTTTTCTATTTTTATTAACTGCATAAGTATTCATTTTTATAAATTATTTTTATAAAATGTTATATGATCGTCTAAATCTATTGACAATGTGCTATAATATACAACAACAATAAAGTCAAGACTTTGTTTCACTACGTGGGGTTAGCTACATGAATCTTTTTTCTCCATTGTGTCATGTTATAAGTTAAATTCTCATTTAAGGTTTCGTTTGGGATGACTTTCTTATCACTTCTTAAAAGCAACTTTCTAGTACAAAAAAATAAAATTTTTATACTAAAAAGCTGCTTTAAGAATAAATAATAAAACCGTTCCAAATGAAGACTAAGGGTTCGTTTGGGACGGCTTTTTTATTGCTTTCTAAAACGGAGTTTTAGTACAAATTTTTTTATTTTTTAACTAAAACTCCGTTTTAGAAAGCAATAAAAAAGCCGTCCCAAACGAAGCCTAAGGCTTCGTTTGAGACTGCTTTCTTTCTGCTTCTTAAAGCAGCTTTCCAGTACAAAATTAAATATTTTTGTACTAGAAAGCTGCTTTAAGAAGCAGAAAGAAAGCTGTCTCAAACGAAACCTAAATCTAAATAGGAGTCTGATTAAAAAAAGTTATTATTTGAAACTGCTATTATATACAAAATTCCAAAATTTTTGAGGTTGTATATGGGGAGCATAGGATTCTCTAGAAATTATGATTATCTAGCATTGATGGTGGGGGTTATACGATAATTTATCTAGTGGGGTATTGGACATGACAACATTTCTTTTTTTTTTTTTTCTAATATGTTACGAAAAAAATCATTATGAATATCTTTTTTTTATATTTTTCAAAACAATTAAAAAAAACTTGACATTTTTCACAATCATTGTTCGAAAAAATATTTTGTAAAGGAGTAAAATAATTATAAGAAGCAACATCAAAATCACCCTTTAATTCCACACTTTGCAAAACAAAATGTTTATTACTATCAAAAGACACTTCTTTTTTTTTTTCAGTTGCAACAAATCTTTTTTCTTAACACACATAACCGTCTTAGCATTTTTTTTTTTTGCAACATAACATTCTTACTCTTAGCATTAATATTCACTATAGTAATATTTAGGGCTAGCAAGATCGGGTCATGGTTTGGGTTCAATCCGGAACTGACCCGACACAAGTTGACCCAACTTGTTTTTTAAAATGGATCAATTTATTGGACCCGAATCCGACGCTCTTTGGACCTGGGTCAACCCTTCTTTACGACTTTACTTTCGATCAAGCCAAAATGAATGTCGAGTTCTCCTCCACTTGGTACACTCCACTGTCGGTGAGTTAAATCACGACAATTTCATTGATTAGCTTATACCGGAGCTTCGAAACAGCGGCTAGGTTCTCCAGGATGCCAGCAAGAGCGTTGTCCTCGATTAGCTTTGTACTTGTCTCGTCAAAGTTGCATAACAGGAAGGAACATCGTCGAAGCAGGAGTGGAAGATGGCGGAGCTGCGGGAGAGGCGGACGTTGACACCGGCTTGACTCGCGAGTGCAATTTCAGCGAGATTGTATAAGGTGAGCCATAAAATCAAGAGGGTTAGATTTTACACAAATCCCATTAATTCGAACCTAGAATCACAAACTGAGTCACTCGTGTTTTCGGGTCAATCCAAACTAGACCTGATTTCTGAAACGGGTCGATTTCTTGAATCTGAATCCGACTCATTTGGCAAATAGGTTGACCATAATAAAAAAAAAATTTCAAATTGAGTTCAAGTCAAATTTTTGAATGGTGTCAAATATTGACACCCCTACTAATATGAGAGTTATTAACAAAAGAATTAGAAAACAACAAAAAAATTAGTATCAATCAAATCATCAACAATAGTTTTATTATGAATCCTATTAGTATCACCAATTTTGAGAAATTATTTATTTATTTATTATTATTTTATAATAATATGGGCAGGACAATATAACATTTCCTCTTGTACACGTTCTACACACGACTCTCATCAGCGCAAGTCATTATTTAACGAAGCAAAAATCTCCAGTCCACTTCTGGTTCCGGTCTAGACTTCTCTACTGCCCTCCCCGTTCATCTCAGTCCCGCAGACATGTGCTGCATGTGAAAAAATCCTCCATGTCTCTCTCTCAATTCTAGGATTTATCCACTGTTATTCGAACTTGAATTACCTAACACAAGGTTAGAAGATTTTTGGTCTTTCTCTTCGGATTTGGTTCCTGCTCATAAACCCAGAATATTCGAAGAATTTCTGGCGGCTTCACTTTTTAATGTCTTTTATTAATGTAGGATTTGTTCTTCAACTGTTCTAGGCATTCCCTTGTCTTGAGTTCTACTTGCTCCGCTTGAAGCGCGTCCAGTTGATCTTCGCGACGATTTCTGCTGCGGATATCTGGCCAAGATTCTCCGCATGTAGAAGGTTTCAGGTGAACGAACTAAAAGAAGCCCGCTTTCTCTTTGCATTGTTCATGTCGTTTGCAGATATTTGGAACTTATTCGGGTTGCAAAATACCCTATTTTGGGTTTACCCGCGTTACCTCGCGCCAACTCAAACCCTATAAAGATTCTTTTTTTTTTTTTGTGGGGTTCCCTTTTGTGAGGTTTTCCCCGCACGTTTCTCTGTCCTTCGATTTCTTTTCAAGTTTTTTTTTTTTTTTTTTTTTTGTGGGGTTCCCTTTTGTGAGGTTTTCCCCGCACGTTTCTCTGTCCTTCGATTTCTTTTCAAGTTTTTTTTTTTGGGGGGTTCTGCGGTTTTTATCTACCTGTTGAAAAACCCATCTTTCTGATACCCATTGTAAATCCTTAGAGCACAGTACTTATGAATCAACCACTATCTCTGGTGAGAAATACTAAAAATCCGAACTTTCTCGCAAACCACTGTGAAGTATCTCCTCTGAGCTAATTGTGCGTCCGCATTCCACTTTAATCATTGTCAATGCTTATTCGATTGAATCAGAGTATTGTTTTCATTGCAATGCTCAACTCCTAGCTATTTCTCCCTGATGTCACTTGCTTGCGGTCTGCCCCCTCTCCTTGAGTGTGTCTATTGCCTTGCCTGTGCCCGTTGGGCTTGGAAACGTTGCATCCATAATGCTGGCCATGACAGCGAGAACTGGGCCGTCGCCACAATTGAAGAATTTGAGCCTATTCCACGAATATGCCGCTATATCCTGGGGAACTATGAGGATGATCTTTATCACCCTCAATGGGAGCCGCCAAGAGGCTATGGAATGAATCCTGAGTGGGTTGTTCGCCGCAAGACATACGATGACACCCGAGGTCGGGTGACACCTTACTTGCTCTATGTTGATCATGACCATTCTGATATTGTCCTTGCAATAAGAGGCTTAAATTTGGCAAAAGAAAGCGATTATGCTGTGCTGCTGGATAACAGACTTGGTAAGAGGAAAATTGATGGAGGTTATGTTCATAATGGGCTGCTAAAGGCTGCTGCATGGGTGTTGGATGCAGAATGTGACACTATAAAGGAGTTGTTGGCTAAGTATCCTAACTATACTCTCACTTTTGCTGGGCATTCTCTTGGTTCTGGTGTGGCGGCAATGCTAGCAATGCTGGTGGTGCAAAATAGACAGAAGTTGGGTAATATTGACAGAAAGAGGGTTCGATGTTATGCAATAGCGCCGGCTAGGTGTATGTCACTCAATTTGGCAGTTAAATATGCAGATGTAATAAACTCAGTTGTACTTCAGGCAAGAAGTCTTTCCCCCCTTTTATGCATTCTGATAAAGTGTTTGCTGTATTCTAGATGATGTTAGCTGATCTCACATGGTTCAATTTTATGGTTCTATTGTCTTTAGATTGCTGCCACAACATAATTTAGTGCAATGCACTCTATTGTTTTTATTTTTCCCCTTAAAGCAAACGAATATAATGTTGATAGCAGAAAATGCATATATTTTTTTTAGCATTTTAACAGCCTTCTCTTTCTTTAGATGATATTCTAAGATTTTTCTAACTTTTTATGTTTTTTCTGCTTCTTCATGAAAATTTTATACCCGTTCAGGTTTATCTTTCATTTGTATGAATGTTCATATTTAATCCAATAGTGCTGGTGCATGTCTAATGCATGTGTACTACTGGGAATGATATTTGAATTATCCAAGTAACTATAATTGCATTTATAACAAAGAGAATGTAGAATTAGGTGATATGGAGTAATGAAAAAAATGTTTTTTTTTTTTGGTGACATTGGTGTTTTGTACATGATGCTAATGATACCATATTTTGGTTCATACCAAATCAAACATAAAAGTGACACTAAAACTTATGTTTGGTGAGGATATAACTGTTATTTGCATCTTAGTGGCAAAATCATCATATCATGGTTAATATCTTTCCATTTCTTTATGATTGACTTTATGTACTTCCCCTTTCCATTGCTGCGGAGTGCTAAATGTGGTGTTCTATTTTATGTCGTGGTTTTTTGACAAAATATGTCGTAATATTATGCTTCATATGTCTATTTTGCTTGCTTGGCCTTGTGGATTAGTTCCATATATTTGCTCTTATTTCTTCATGTTTTACCTCCATTCTATGTACACAAATCACCTCAGTCAATTTTTGGCAACCTTATCTTTAATGGATGCTACACTCACTTTCCATCAAATATAATGTAACTTCAAGCCCATGAAATATAATTTTAATGGAATATGAAGTTATACTTTTGTTGTGATATGATCAAGTACTTTGATCCTAATCAATTTTGATAGAGATGAGTAAGTGATTAGAGAATAAGAGGCTTATAGGCAAATTTTATAAAATTGCAATTATATTTACAATTTTGTATTTAATTTGAATATTAAAAAGAAAAGAAATCTTGATGGAAAAACAATCTAGAAGTTGTACAAAACTTGCTTGAAATAATAATAAATAAATAGGAGAGAGTATGAACTTTGTTTACAACATCTTTTTAATTAAAGTAAGAGAGGTTTTCCTTCATTGTTATGCTGGACTCATCGTAGAAGCATTAACTTTACTTTTTGTGCTGTACCTGCTAATGGCTAGCACTGATATATTATTGTAATATTTTGATGCTAATTTTAAAGTTTTTGATAGTTAATATTAATCTATACTAGGTAAGATCTTCTAAGATTTCAATATTTGTTACTTAAGTGTTATTTAACAAAAGAGGTTTCATTTTTTTTTCTAGAATATAGCAGGTTGGTGTGGCCGTTAGATGTTATGAGGGGTATGCTTTATGAATCTACTAAGTATATTTGACAGAATATTTGAAAATTTGGTTTGATGTGTATATGACTTGGTTTTTTTCTACTTCTTAGATTGCAAGTGGTTTGTGACGGGCACAATCGTTCATTTGTTTGTTTCATCTCACTAAAGTTTCTTAAATAACCTTATAACATAAGTGTATTTTTTTGGCTTCAAACTATCATTTAACATAATAGTCATGATATAAACCTGCATATTATTTCATTCAATCTTAGGGATATAATTATATTGTTTAGAATGGGCCATGTGTTTATTCATTTATATTTATTTTATTTTATTTTATATTTTTTTAAGATGGGCTGTGTGTTGAATCATTGGTTTGACACTTTATGTAGCACGCTAGATATGGGATCTACTCTCCCTTTTTTAGGTTAATCTTTGTCCTCGCTTGTTTTAAGTAAAAACCAAAAACGATTGAAACCCTCGTGCTTATCTCCATCAATTTTTTTAACACTCTGTCGAACTTTTCATTCACTTGTTGAGTAAATTCAAGACAGGGCAAGAGTAGCGGTTAGTTGTTCCCATGGTAGCCCAAGATTATTGGTTTTCCGTTTGATTTACAAAAACAACTTCTCAGTAAAGCAGGGGCAAGGATGCATAGTATTAACCATTCCCTAGTCACAAAAACAACTACTAGGTGCCTTTAGTTTGATGGATTTGCTCGGTAGCGAGGCCTGTTGGGTGGCGCTCGCCACTTATCGTCATGTTGGGCAAATTGTTTTGTTTGGTCATGGCCTAAGACTTTAGTTAGAACCCTCGTCTTTGTAAGCCACCTCACTTCTTTGATTTGTCAAGGACTCTTGAAAAATGTCATATACGGTGAATCATTCAATCTGACATATAAATCTTTCACCTTGCAACTACAGTTGTTTTTAGAATCTATATTCTTGCAGTTTCGAATGCACTGTGTTGAATAAGGTATTTATTAATGTAGAAAGGCTTGATCAACTTTCATATATCTAGAGTTATTTAAAGATAATGAATACCAAGAAAAGGAATAATGAGATAATGTTGATACAATTACTAAGATTAGTAATGAAACTTGATAATCTCTTAATGACATCGTAGAGTCTTAACAGAAGGTTAACTTTATAACCTGGTGAATTACAATTTTAAAGTTGAGCCATTCCCAAGTAGAATTGCCTTTTTAAGAATATATTTTCGATTTACTGAAGTATGAAGAACAGAAGAAGGATGTGAGAGGTAAAGTGAACTTATGTTGTAGTGACTGATTAGTTATAGTTGCTTGGCTTATAGTTGATATTATATTTAAATTTTTTGATGTGACACAAACAAGAATTGCAAGGAATTGATAAAATATTGTAAAGCTTGCCACTTTAAGGTTAATGAACCACAAGAGTTAACTTGAAGAATTTTTAGTTGAAGTTTGCTTTGGCATGCAATTATAAGCTAGAAGAACAAAACAACTAAAATAATATCAGAAAAGTACAATAAAACTAATTATGCCGTAATAAGAATCCACGGGTTAATATTTAGAACATTTACCTTGAGTTTCCCCTCAATCACGCTCTATGAAAAGTTTTAGCAGAAAGAGAATTTCAGCAATCCAAATGATGCCACCAAAAGAGACAGGACATCAACGGTCTTGATCCACGGGAAGGTAACCAGAGGAGGAGACGCGGCTGGATGTCTGACTATTTGCCACTGTCCGGAGGGTCATTGTTCGTCGATAGTCTCAGCCAAGTGTAATAGTATACGGTCAACGTAATCGTCGATGGTGTCTTCTTTCTCCCAATCGGGTTCGAAGAACGATGACTGAAGAATATCTATCTGCCCTTGAGAATCGTATGCGAAACCGCGATCTACTTCAGGATCGGCCATCAATGGATGAAAGAGGGCCAGCTGCTTGTGAAGGAGGTAGGGAGGGGTGGAGCTGGCGTTTTGGAGGTTCGGGTAAAGAGGGGGAGGGGGAAACGGCTAGGGTTTTAGGTGGAGGATTCTTGGACTTTGGCGAGGGAGTTGGAAGGAAGTAATTTAGAAAATTTGAAATTTAATTTCAGATTTCCAAAGGGCCGAAAGGAATAATTTGAAACTCAAAATTATCCCCAAAATAGGGCTAGAGGGGGCAGTGGCTTAGGGAGGATTTATGGGGAATTTAATTAGGAGTTAGGGATTAAATTGGAGAGAGAAAGGGGCAAAGGAGGGGCAGGCCATATGAGAAGGGAGAGAGGGTGTCTAGGTTCAATGTATGTGGGTCATTGACTTTAATTGATGATTGAAATCAAATCTAAGATTTAATTTCATATTTGAGATAATTATGGAGACTTCCTAAATTAGATTAATCAATAAGGAAAGAGTTTGTAATTCAAATATATATTTGAATTCAAGTAAGAAACTTTCCTAATTAATAATAGGATATTTTAGGAAGGTAATTAAGAGAGAATTTTGAAATTGAAGTCAAGCTTATGGGGACTAATTGGCCGGAGGCTAGGAGGTCCTTGGGAGGCCGACAGCTTGGGGTGGTGAGGCGGCGGCAAGAAGGGGCTGTCGGTTTTGAAAGAGGTGTGTGTGATGAGGACAATCGATCCAAGGTTCATATAGGTGCATCGCAAGGAGCATCACAGATAGACGGCCACAATTTAGAGCTTATATTTTAGTTATTATCATTTTATTCCTTTTGTACCCTTATGTTGAGTTGAGTCATGTTTGGGGCCCTGAGGGCAATTTAGTCTTTATTTCTTCATGAGTAATTTGAGCCTATATATATGGGTCTTTTCTCTTGTAATAGCTAATGAATATTTGAATGAAAATTGCCTTTTGGTTTCTACTACTTCTTGCATGAGGGCTTGAGAAGGGAGAGAGCTCAAGGGGAGCAAAGCGCAAGGCCCACCATTGTTGGAAGAGTCCGCAACTCATGTTAGTTTAGATTATCTTCTTGTTCCTACCCCTACCATCATCTTCTCCACCTCCACCACGAATTCGCACACCCCTAGTCCTTTATGCCAGCCGGCCATAACACCCAAGTCCCGGCCGGCCACTTCACCGGTCATCCTCATCACCCACCCGACCCCTTCCTATACACAAAGTTCAAAATTTGAACATTTGACATTCAAATTTCGAATTATTTCCTAATTTGGAAATCCAATTTAGGAAGGTTTTTCATGAGGAGATTTATTTCATTTAATTTAGATTGAGTTATGAAACTATGCCCCACTCACCTCCTAAATTGAAAACCATCTCCCTTGAATCCCCTCTCTCCCTCTAATGCATGCCGCCGGCCTCAAGGAGAAAATCTCCCCATTATGTGCGAGATTAATGCTATGGCCGTTTTTGAAATTCTAATTTGAATCCAAAGATTTTCCCTCCCTATTTACTTAAAACTGAAATTAATTTCAGTTTTAAGATTTAAACCTCCTCTTCCTATCCAAAGCATGCCGCGGCCACCCTCTTGATGAGCCCCATTAATGGCTCATTAAGCCCCCTTAATTACATTTGAAATTTGAAATTATTCTCAAAGTATTTCCCTCCAAACTACTACAATTTGAGATTATTTTCAGATTTGAGTAAACTTCATGCCACCTCATCTATACCTAGCTTCTCTCATCTTGCACCCGCCTAACCCACCCCTCTCTCCTTGGGATTCCGTCCGGCTTCATCTCCTCCTCTCCCCACTCTTTTCAACTACACAAGTGCTTCTCTCTCCACACCACGTTCTTCTTCTCTTCTCAATGAAAGAGTTCTCCTACGCCAAGCATGCATGGCGGATCCGGAGATCGATAGTGGATTGGTGTTTGATATCTACGGTGACATCCATATCACCCGGTCTCCATTCTTCGACATCGGGTTCGGATCGCGACGACACAAGTTGAAGACTACTTAAATCGCATTCTTCCCACGCTCAAAGACGTCATCGACGAGCAAATTCGAAGACTATTCGTGGACCGTCATCGCTATCCGTCCGTTGCCTCTCCACCACCGCCAACCTTTCCGTGGCTCAAGACCATCGCGTTGCAACCTTCCTCATGGCATCGTTTTGGTGTGCTGAAGATTTTCCCCGCTAAGCCTAGTGTAGTTGAGTGATCAATCCCCAAGGTGAAACTCTCGTTATTAAATTACGGATTTGTTGACAATAGCTTTTGGTATTGCTACTAACCTTGGTTATCCATGAGTTTTTGGTTAATCTACGCATACTTCTTCGCCTAAGCTAGTTAATAACACGATTTCTTTAATGATTTTCTTGCTATTCAAATAAGATAAAATTAATTGAAATTATGTTGTCATTCACTTTTAATTTTTTTAGAAGCTCTTGCATGTGGTATCACATCAGTGTGTGTGGGTGTGTGTGTGTGTGTTGGGGGGGGGGGGTGAAACCGGCGGGTGGAAGATGTTGGAGGGGGGAGCCTGTGGGTTTAGGTGGTGGAGAGGGTGGCTAGATGTGAGGAGAGGGAGATAGAGATAAATTGCGAGCCTTGGACTCTTCTGAAGACTGACGGGTATTACAATCACCTTCACCTAGGGTTCTCTTTCTTCTCTCAAAGCTCAGAACATTGAAGAAGACAAAAGGTGAAATTTTTTATTCATCAAAATCATTACCAAAATACAATAGAGGGGGCCTTTATATATAGGCCTCAACATGACAAAAGAAAAGGAATAAAGTGCCCTCTAAGGGCACTTTAGTCTACAACATCAAGCTAACCATCCATATGGGTAAAATAGTAAAACTGAAATATAAAATAAACAATACAACAAAATGCATAAAAAATAAAGGCTCCTGATCGTGGCCGTCGATCTTTGATGCCTCCTCTGATAAACGCGCAAAAATCTCCTGCTGATATCCTCATCATTTTTTGTGTAATTTATCCTCTATTTAATTCATGAACCCCCTATCCCTTTTTTTGCTATGCCTTTTCTTCACATTCAACATTAATATCCAAGTCATGTTGGCCTTTTGAACTATGATCATAAAAAATATTCAAGGTATTATCATTGTTCAACTTAACCACTCCAGTAGATTTACCACACCAAACTACAAGATTGCACCCAACCAGAAATTTGCTACTAAGTTTGTTTGCAACCAGGAACATGTCACCTTTAAATGAAATATTGTGTACCTATTTGTATCAATATTTTTAGTTTTTTGCACAATTTCTTTATTATGTTTGTGGAGTGAGCAAAACTCATCCACAAAGTAGCATGAAGAATGAAATGAGAACATACTACACAAATGCTTTCAGAAAGTTAAAATGATACCTTATAGAAAAAACTTCCGGAAATTCTAAAAAGTTATGGTTTATACCTGATATCTCAAGAAATTCTTGCAACACATGAAAAATTTCAAATTATATAGAAAAAGTTTAAAATGTGGTAATAAATTATCAAATTGAAGCCTAGAAAAATGAATGACAGAAAACTCTAAAATTTTGAACCAGAATAATGGGAGTATCTATTAAATTAGTGTTTGCAATGCCACCTTGCATTAAATTTTTTTATTTTGATTCTTTGATTCATGACGAGGTCATGAGAATGGGTCATGGAAGGAAGGCCAATCATGTTGGAAGATGAAGGGCATTATCACTACATTTGTTTGTTTTCAATAAGGTTCTCTAGATGAGCTCGTCTCAATGAGGTCCTCTAGATGAGCTTTTAAACTTGCATTTTTGACAGCTAAGGAATATTTAATGGCATTGTCATAATAGGGACCTACATATTGCATCTTGAAATCATGGGGATCTAATTGTAGTGTTTTTAAAAGTTTGGTAAAATGAAGCCTAAGTTTGATTTCTAGCACTGATTTTGTGCTTAGCTAGTTCATATACTGAGAATATGCTCTGCACATGAGCAACTTTTTAGTCATAGTCAAGAAGATCTTACGAAAATGGAATATTTTCACGTAGAAGATGTAAAACAGATACTAGGCACTCTACATAAGCATTTTGCAATCAGTTTACCTAAGAAAAAGTTTTCATTTTTAATCCATTGAACTTTTTTCTTTTTTTTAGATTTCAGAAAGAAAAAGACCTAAAATTAAGGATTTCTCAACTTAGAAGATTCTATTACTTCACATCATTGTTTTCAGGACATGCAGACAACAGATAGGGCATACTCTTCAAAGTGGTTTGGCTATTTTTAAGTTGATTATGAATGCATGATTTCTTCATACTTTCAGCATTTCTAGAATTTCATTAGATTATCTCCAGTGATGCTTATTTTTTGTTTTCATCTTTTTTGTGCCAATGTTTTATTTGCATGTGCAGATCATTATTCCTTTGTCTTATATTTAGCTATATGAAGTGAAGAAGCATGTAATTTGTCCTGGCTTGGTTTTCCCGTATTTGCTGAGAGTTTGAACTGATACTATTGTAAATTTGGGAACAAATTATTTTTGTGCTAGTATGTTATGCTGGACCACTATACTTGCTCTGATCTTTGAGCAACTGCTAGATCAAATGAGTATCATTTTGGCTATTTGAATGAATTAGTCAATTTCTCATAGAATATCTTCAACCTTCTAAGTGTCTATTTAGCAGAATGAAAGCTTGAATTTTGTTGATGGCGTCTATTGCAGGATGATTTCTTACCTCGGACAGCTACTCCATTGGAAGACGTTTTCAAGTCACTTTTCTGGTATAGGCATCATTCTTTCTATAAAGAACTTCACGTGGTGGAACTTAGGTTCATTGATTTTTAACTGATAAAACATTGATAGATACCACAATAATTATAGTTTACAAATACAAATAAATGTCCTAAATACCTTTTTTTTGTTCTTGTAAAAAAATCATTTTATGTTTTCATGTTGAAGAATAGCTGCACTTGATGTAATAATAGATTAGATTTCCTGATCAAGTGGAAAGTAAATGGAAGATTTCACGCAAATGATGATAATAGGATAGGCATGTCAACAGTAGTAGCAATGGCCTTACTAATAATGACCTTTGCAATCTTTGTTTGTAATAGATGCATTTGAAGCTCTGCAAATAATTGTTAACCACATAACTTATAAGATTTTTGGATTTTTCAATATATTATGTTTGATAAAGGATGTAGCATTTTAAATGTTCCTAGATGAAATAAAAGAGTTGTTGTGGAGCAGTCCATTCCTTTTAAAGGTCATTGTTTTATATTTTTAGTAGACCCATCATGTTTTGTAGATTTTTTTTAGCACATGAATTTGATTGTTTATTGATTATTACAGAATTTAAGAAGTAAAAATCTATGAAGCTCATCTTGCTTTCACGTAGGCCTAGAGCTTTTTTTTTCTTCAAAATATTGAATATTGAGTTGGTAGGTGGAGTGCAAATTTGAAGTTTGGAGTGGCTGCTTGGCTTGGCGTCAAATTTAAATTGGTGCACAAAGCTTGGTATAGGAGACAAATAAAGAAGTTGCATAATCACAATTATTACTGGAATTCCTTTGCATCAATCTCACATGTCAAATCAAATCCCTAATAAAAATTCAGTTTCCATGCACCTTCGTTTTTGCAAGCGAGCATGAAATAGGAACCTAATAAGATGGTTTGGAAAAAAAGAAACCATTTCTTTTGTCAGTGTTATATCTTTAAATAAATATATTATTTGAAATATACTGGAGCTCATAATTTTTGGTTATTCAAGTCATTTAGGCTTCATTTGGAATAGCTTTCTTACTGTTTCTAAAGCAGCTTTTTGGTAGAAAAATTTTATTTTTTGTACTAAAAAGCTGCTTTAAGAAACGGTAAGAAAGCCGTTCCAAACGAAGCCTTAGATGCGAATGAAATTGGGATACGAGTGATGATGATGATGATGGGGATGACTTAATGAGATGGATTTTAAGGAAAATTGATGATCATCTATTGGTGATTGATCCACAATGATGGATTACTGTAATCCATGTCTGTGAATGAAATTGAACCAATTCAAAGGCTTCCTAGAATGATTTATGAGGAATGATTCATAAAGCTAACTTACACTAGTTTATATTAGATTGATTTGGTGATAATCAACAATAAAGATGTATCATATTCTATAAGTAGTCATTCGTTAAGCCTATGCTTGTCACAATAACTGGAAAGTTTCTGGATATTAATATTACATGGTGGATTATGAAGCCTGTGCAGTAGGAAATAGCACCATAAAATGTTCAAGGTCTCTCATATTGCTACTTATGCGTGTCTTTAATGCCGAAAGCCGTATTAGAAAGCTGATTATTGTCCTTTTGAAACAGTTTGCCTTGTTTGCTGTGTCTAAGGTGCATGAGAGATACATGCATACCAGAGGATGTCATGTTAAGAGACCCAAGGCGGCTATATGCTCCAGGCCGACTATATCACATTGTTGAGAGGAAGCCATTCAGGTAAGTTTTATTTCTTATACTTGACACTTAGGCTTTATTTGGGAGTTGGGACGGCTTTCTCATTGCTTGCTAAAACAATTTTTTAGTACAAAAAATTCCAATTCAAGAAATTTTTTAACTAAAACACTATTTTAGAAAGCATTAAGAAAGCTGTCCCAAACGAACCCTTAGTGTTTGAAACTGTGCTTATTACCAGTTGAGCAAATGGTGCACCTTTTCATTTATTTTTTCTACTGTAAGTCATTTGTCTTTTATAGCAGGTGAAATATTTATGGATTAAATTGGTCATTAACATCTATTGGTAGTTGAGCATTTACTTGATCTCACCAACTGTTTCTATAAAGAATCCAGATCTACATTTTTTCTTAGGTTATTTTATAATGTTTTGTGCTGCTTGTCAGGTGTGGAAGATTACCTCCAGTTGTGAGAACTGCAGTGCCAGTTGATGGCAGGTTCGAGCACATCGTCCTATCATGCAATGCCACTTCTGACCATGCTATAATTTGGATAGAAAGAGAATGCCAGTGGGCTCTTGATGTAAGCTTTGGAACTTGATAGGAAATACTTGAGTTGGCAAGCAACCCTAACAATAAATTGGTACAAACTGCGAGAAAATGCACAATAACACCAATGAAATCAACTCCAAACAGTAGTTTTTATTATATAGAACAAAGCAAGCACACATAAAGCTAAAAAAATACAATTGATCCTCAATTCGAGAGGAGGATCGTTCTTTCCGAATATCTAGACAATAAGTTTTGAGCCCAAGATCACAAAAGACTCCAAGAGAAAACAATAATGAAGCATACCCTAACCCTTCCCTCTCATCCCTATTTATAGCCTTCACTCCCCTCTCCTTACTAAAAATAGATTATTTTAAATAAAAAATCCTTGGGCGGCAAGGCTGTGGGCCCCCCGCTTTAGGCGGCTAAATGGGGGGTGGCATGGGTCCGCCTCCTGTAGACTTGGACCAGCCCATGCTGGGCCGGTTGAGTCGGTTCCATCTGAACTGGCTTAACAGAACTCTCATATAATGCATTGTCAATTCCCATCTAATGTTATCGTCAATTAGATGCATCAAAATTTTCTCAATAGATGACTATGATTGCTAGAAAAATTATTTGCAAGTTCAATCGAAATCTATGGAGTGGTTTAATGATGTCTTTTTTTTTTTATTGCTTCTTAAAATAGAGTTTTTTGTTTGGATTTCAGCTGATGCTTGAGAAGGAAAGAACCATGGAAATACCTTCGAGTCAGAGAATGGAGCGCAAGGAGTCGCTTGCGAAAGAGCACAAAGAGGAGCACAGGGCTGCGCTCCGCAGAGCGGTTACATTGTCTGTGCCAGATGCCTACTCTCCTTCGCCCTACGGCACATTTGAGTCCAATTCAAGTCCAATCAGTGAGGATTCCCCTTCCTCATCTTTAAAGGGCCGGCATCGGTTGACCTGGGATGAGTTCATTGATAAGATTTTTGAGGAGGATGAGTCTGGTCACAGATTCATTCGCAGAACAGCCTCTTCTCATTAATCATGTAGAGTATCCAATGTTTCATCTTTTTGTTCTTGTTGATATTTCCTATTGTATCATTATTTTACCATATTTTTTATTCCTGTTCCACCCATTCTTGTTCAATGTTATTTTATGTAATATAGGGAGGTCATATCTTTGCTGTCTTTGAATAGTACCATAGAATGATTGTAAGGTCTAAAAACTTTCAGAATGGCATATTTTGGATTAAAATTCACTGCTTATATGATCAATAAATAGACTATTCGATTCAAATACTGAAACATATTACCTTCTTTGTCTGCTTTCCTCTAAAGCTTTGGTTTCAGTATGCTAAGACTTCAATGTTGTTACAAAGATTGAAGCTTCTTGGTTTCCAGGACTTAATTTTGAAGAATTGGACATAATGATCCTTCTTTTTATTTTTATTTTTGACAAAATGATCCTTGTTGCAGATCTTGGAATTAATATAAAATTTTTACTGCTTTTTAAAATAATTTTTTAGTACATAAATTTTAAGTAGTAATAAAACTGTCTTGTTGTTGCTTAAAATAACTTTTTAGTATAAAAATTTTAAATTTTATACTAAAAATTGATTTTAAGAAGCAATAAGAAAGCCGTCCTATCAACTAGACAAAAAGCACCTTCAAGATATATGCTTCTCAATTTATTTTTAAAAACACTATACCACTTAACATCTTCAACTAAAAAGATGCCAAGATAATTGAGGGCTCTCATCAATGACAATCACCAACTATATATATATATATATATGCATATTGATTCTGTAAATATTTATAGAAATCAAATAGATTGCAGCCATTCTAGATATCTTCTCAAAAAAATAATGGTTTGATTTGAAAAATCATGTACCATAAAATTAATAAATAATTTGCATCATTATCAAAGCCCTTTATTAGGGTGTCATGTTCATCTTTATTATATGACCAATTCTTCTTAAAATGTTATGAAAATACAAGTCCTGCATTTTTCAACAATATCATCTTATATTCATATTGTTTTTGCCATCATATCGCTACCAATTTGAGATAGTTTTCATTATATTTTACTTTTCAGATCACAATCATAATTTCTGTTTGACCATTACTTCAGTACAACTTAAAAAAATTTTATACTAAAAAAACTACTTTTTATGATAGTTTTTACTCTCTTCTTGTTCTATATAGGAGGAGAGCTAGTGAATGAAACAAATATCATCTGGGGTCAATATAATATTGCATATGAACAACAAGAATCTAAGAAGTTTTCAGCCAAAGTAAGAATGTTTTATATGTTTATGAGGATTGTGAGCTGCTTACAGGATAGATGATGAGGTAAATTAAGAACACACCAGAAAATGTATTTGAAAGAGGGAAAGTCGCACAATTTCCCATCTTCTAAACTATATTATGCATCAGGAGGAAAATTCTAACACTCATAAAACTAATATATGTCCATCTTCTAGATCTTCTCTTCAGCCTCTATAGGAAGTTCAGAAATTGCCTCACCTGCAGAAAGGACAAGGAGGTTGGAAAAGCATTTCTTCTGATAAAAGTATCAAATAGAAGAATAGATAAAGCACAATATACACTGAAGCTTGTTATAGGAGCTTTCATATTAACAGTACAAGTATCATAAAAGACAAAGAAGAAGCATATAAATTATTCCCTAGAGAGACAAATTCTTGAGGTTTAAGGTCTAGGAGGGTATCATTCTTAGGAGTTTCTGCAAGACATGGCTAAACTGTCTTTTATAGAAGATACCACAGATTTTAATCTTTTAAGAGTAAATTTTCAGAAGGTAACATAAGCTGCTACAACAAGAAGTTTTTTTTCAGAAGGAAACAGAAAAGAAAATTATAACCTCAGAAATTTTGTGATTATCTACTCTTAATATGTTGATCGTTTTCATGCATTCAACCATGAATTGGACAATTTATCTGCCAATGAATAGTGTTATTGACTGGAGCAAGAGCAAGGTGAAACACCAGGGGCACCTTGATTGTACTGCAACATGAAACTGTTATGGACCTAAACATGTTAGGGACAATTTGGTTATTTTTTGCTGGAAAATATGTTTAGAAATATATGAATTTTGCTAGATTCCATCATTTCAATAATTGTAATTAGATAACATGGATTTCAAGCTCTCCCTCTGATTTTATTTTGCATATAGACAAAGCGAAAATAAATATTGTTTTCTTAAAGTTATTTTCTACCTACAATAAACAAAAGGGCCCAATAAAACAGTTGATTGATGATAACGGACAAAGACAACTATAAATAGTAAGGACATTGCCATATTTGCCATTGCCAGAGTAGGAAATGCATCAACCTTTCGGTTTTCTAAAGAATATGCTACAAATATGCTTGCAGAATTCCAACTTACATAAACATGGTATTGTTAAAAAAACTGTAGTAGCTCCAATATTTCAATCGCCAGCATAATAAAATATTAATGACGTGCATTCACAGTTAGTTTTTTCAGTAAAACTGAAAACAGGTGGAGGATGTTACCATGCATTCTCTTGACGAAATGTGCAAATTCTAACAAGTTTTGTCTCTCCATCAGATCTAGACTTAGCCTGAGGTAGGTAAATGTGGACAAATGCCTTCGATCAGGATCATTGAGTGGCTTGGCATTCTCCAATATCTTGTTAAAACCATCTCTGTCATAGCAGGGAAGGGCATTTTCACTGGCTACTGGTATGCATGCATCCCATGCAGCATTTAAAACCTACCAATTGAAATATGTTAGTGTTAAAATATTTATACTACAACAATAACAACAACAAATCTTTATCCTACTGTGGGGTCGGCTACGTGAAACATTTTTCTTCATTGTGTTCTGTTAAAAGTTAAAATATTTATACATGCAGCAAAATTTTGAACCCCACCACACAAGTACCGACCATGAAATATGCAAATGTCCAAAGAAAGAAAGAAAGAATAAATAAATAGTTGTAGGCAAGTGTGCATACACCAACAGATTCAAAAAACTGTTTTACAGCACGTCTAAATCAAGTGAGTAGGGCAATGAAACACAAAAAATTATCCTGGAAAATTTACCAAAATAATTAAGGTTTCGTTTGGAATGACTTTTTTACTGCTTCTTAAAATAATTTTTTAGTACAAAAATTAAAATTTTTATATTGAAAAACTGTTTTAAAAAGCAGTGCGAAAGCCATCCCAAAGGAAGTCTAAATGTGCCCAAGATAGCATCAAATTCATGTTTTAACCAATTTTTATCCAGCAATTATCATTTATTTTCTTCTTGCATGGGAAATTCAAATGAGGCTGAAAAGTTGGCTCACAGCGCACCCTGTATATATTGTGACTACTTAAGTCAATGAAGGAAAAACATAAAGTAATTTATAATGCATGATTTAATAACCAAAATTTGATAAGTCATGGCCTTCCTGATATTTCATTAAAGATTAGCATGCCTAGATCTCAACGGCAGTTACTACTTCGCTTTAGCCACACCAGATGTCAATATTTACATAATTTAAAAAGGGGACCAATACCTGCCAGACCAAACCCTCAGGGTCTGCCAAAGCCTCCGGAAATTCCTCATTTTGATCTAAAGTTCGTAGCTCAACACAAGTGAAGTTCAAAGCTGCGTCGTGCTTTTTCAGCATAGCAGCTATTGGAGCATAGCCATCACGGTTGCAAGGATTATAAAATCCAGCAGTCAATTCAGCTGCATGACTTGCAGTCTTGTACCACCAATGGATGCCTGATACCTGCTCAGGCAAGCAATTGGAAAACGGAAGAAATTGATTAAGGCCATGAATTTATAAATATTTGAGCACTAGTTCATGGTGAATGGTTCTACGTACTAAAGCATGTACTGAAAGAGTTGAATAAATATAGGGAGATTTACATACATACCACCTAATATTATTCTATTTACATATTTAACATCTAAAACTTTAATATTACATACATACCACCCATAGTTCATTTTCATATCAAATATGAAAAGGAAGAAATTAAATATATGAGTGATAGGAAAGAAATATAAGTGGTATATTTGATATTAAAATAATATAGAATGGTATGCATATAATATTAAAGTTTTAGGTGTTAGATATGCAAATAGTATGTTATAAAGTGGGGCCCTTGGGGATGCCCAGATACGGTCTGATGTTTCGTGCATATATATACAACGATGAGGGTAGAATGCCGAAGAGCCATTAAAAACTTATGGTTGGTGAAGGAGGCACATGATAGAAGAGAACCGGTTCTTTTATATGATAGGAATCAAATACTGCCTTAGGGTGTACTATACCTCCTTTAGGTGTACAATACTGTAATAGTGTAATGAATTGATATACATGAACCAAAACTTTTATACTAAAGAAAAACTTCAAGTATGTTCCCTAGTTGAAATAACACATTTAAATTCTTTACAAAATAAAAGCAAAATCATCAACATTGGGAAATCATCTTCCCAAAGGAACATAATTACTTCTTAATAACCAGCCTTCATGGCGTAAAACTTGTAGTATAACATTTTAGTGTTTATGAATATTTTTGTTATATCTTCAACTACACTTTGGAAGAAAAACAGATAATAATGTTCCCTGGTTGATACTACTACACATCAAAATCCTTATCTAAAGCATATTTAAATAAGCTGACACGAAAATTATTAATTAAAATTGCAGAAAAATAAAAATATCAATATCTCAGTTTAACATGTATCTCAAAGAGATACCGCTAGCATCATTAAAGATCATTTCTCAAATCAAAAACACATGATGCATCTTCCTGTGGCCTTAAAAAATTTTGATGCCCCGGCCTCTTCGCGTAGATTTGAGGAGAGTTTTACTAGATTAAGTTCTAGAGTCAATTTTAGGAAGACCGATTAATTAAAGATAAGACATACTCAAAGATTTTGTCCTCATTTAGCTAGGAGTTTAAGATCTAAGTTCAGATTTCTCATGAGCGCAATCCCCTATAGTTAATTACCCCTCTATCAAGATAGAGCACTTTCAATTAAGACTAGTCGTTATATAGGCATGTAATAATTAATGTCTAGCAACAGATCTAAATATTTAGAGCTAAAAATTTACCACCTTTCAAGTAAAGCAAATGGTATAAGGGGAATGCTGACAAACCCAATCAATAACTCATGGTTATGTCGTCTCAGATTATCATGGTTCTTAGTTTGCTTAGTTAGATGAGGTAGCTGGTTCAACTTGACAGAAGGATTATTGTCAAGAATCATGGATTGCTTCATACAATGGTATCTTGTAGATCTAGGATGAATATTTGTCTAAGGACGAATTCAAATCGACATTAGCTAACTGAGGATTTTATCTCATATTAAGGCTAACATATGATTCATTACTCAAGAGTATTAACCATTGGGAAAAAAATAGGTTTTGACCGTGACAATAATATAGTGGAGCCATCGAACCAAGCCACCCGATTAGAGAGACTCGGTCATAATCGTTTATCATGTAGAGCCGTTAAACCAAACCACTGATTAGAGGATACATGTCACATTCTTACTAACAAGAGATTGTTTGATAATGAATATTAGTGATATTCTTAGCTCGATATTCGCTCTTTTTGAGCTGAAATTATTCTTAAAATCATCATCCTCACCAAACGATATGGAGGGTGGATATTTTTTACTTGAGTTATGGATTATTAAATTTCATTTTAAAATTTTGAATTTTGATAGGCATTAAATTTTAACATTTTCATAGAATTTCAAAATTGATTCCTCAATTGATTCCTCTGATTAAGATTTACTTTCAATACGGCCATTATCGGGGATGTAAATAGTTCATCTTTTTTTATTTGAACCTTATCAACTATGTCCACTTGATGGCAAAGTATCGAGTTCGATCTGAATTTACATTGCATTTTGATGATATGATCTCCTCCTGTTAATATTCACTTTCAACGTGATCATCATCGAGGATATATATATATATATATATATATATATATATATATATAGTGTGTGTGTGTGCGCGCGCGCGCACGCGTGTGTTTGCAATTTTAAAATTCGATTATGAGTTAATTCTTCTAATTTAGATCAACATGACCAACGGGGATGGCAATAGTTCACAATTTTGTTTTTTGGACCTTATCAACTTTGTTTATCAGCTACACAGGATCGAGTTCATATACTAATTTTGTGAATTTGTTGTATGAACGTTGAAAACAAAAGCTTACATTTTATGATGTATGTCATTTTAAAAGCTAAAGGCCTAATATTAACTTAAAATTAAATATTTTGATGAATTTAATGATAATGTGTTCACTTGTTAATCCAAGTCATATTGACTCCGATCCTTTCAACTATGATTATTGGATTTAAAATTTAGATTTATGTTTCACTCGCACAACCTTCTAAGACCTCTGATTTATGAATTTGATACGATGGTTTGAGCATATGCCGGTAGATTAAAAAAAAAATTAAGTCACATGCACGTATTTCAATATATTTGCATGATACACTAGCACACTTTTAATGCGCCTACACGGTGCATGCGCATCCTTTCAATATATTGGCATGCTTTTCGATGCACTCACATGATGCACTTACATACATTTCAGTGTATTTGCATGACATGTTCGCATGCTTTCAATTTACTTCATTTTTTTTCATTTTAACATGATTGTGTGGCTTTTGATGCAGTTGCATGCTTCTCAAGGCAGTTATATGCTTTTCAGTGCCTTGGCATGCTTCCTAAAGTGGTACCACACTTCTCGAGGAAATGAAACATTCCTCGAGGCTATTACACGCTTCTCAAAGAAACACATTTCACTGGGTTGTTGCATGCTTGTAAAGGCAGTGACATGCTTTCCAAAGCTGCTTTGCACTCCTCAAAGCGGCGTGCTTATGTTTGAAAACTTCCATTGTAAAATGTGAAAGATTTAAAATATTCAAATTTTGATTATTTTTTGGCAAATATTTACTATTACAAAGTGCACAAAAGTTTCATTTTGAAGTTTAGAGTACATTTTTTATCCACTTATATGTGTGTTGCGGATCTAGCAGCATTAAAAACAAGCAGGGGTTATAAAATCTCATTATTATTATTACTTTATTGTAATTAGGGGTTTTGTGAGTTCAATTGGAGTCCGAAAATCGTGTTCTTTCCCGTAGGCGGGCTGCCTCTTTCATCAAAAAGTTTGATGGCCTTGCCCATATGCGGGCTGACATTTTTGTAAAAAGTCTCATGTTCGTGTTTATTTGTTTGAAGCAATGAATAATGCATTTTATGTGCTTTTATTTTGCCTCCGGCGTACAATTAATCTTTTATTTTGTTGTATTATTAGTCCTGCAAATTATTTTAATCATTCTAACTTTAATCGTCTTTTAGTCAAATTTTCAGCAACCTCCTGATGTCTCCCCAACGAATGAAAAATTTTGGGGAGTATTGGGCCTTCCCACCATGCTTAAAAAAGCGTGCATGATCAATGTTATAAGACATTGTGGTCAGGGGTCTTCCATCTCATCATGTTTAAAAAAACACACTTAGAACTTTAATGCTTGCACGAGTGAAACGATAGTTTCCTCGCCGCGTTAGAACTATGCGAATAGTTACTTAGGTTTGGAGGTTTCTCGCCGCATTGAAACTGCACGAAATTTATGAACATTTCTTATATCTTATAGGTATAATATATGCATACATAACTTTCTTGACTTTTCAAATGTCATGGTAAAAGATTGAAAAAAAAATTTATATGGCTTTAAGCAATTGTTTAGAAACAAATTATCAGCATAATATTTGAATCTAATACCCATAGATGTGGAAGAAAAATGATCTTGACGTCAATTTGACCGACGGCGCCTAAGTAATTAATTTCTTCTAAACCTTTTTCTTCTTCCTCCTCTAGAAATTGATTTGATTGCTCTCCTAGCTATGAGGAAACTAATGAGAGAAATTTGAGAGAATAAAGACGTGAAGGGAACTAGTTGTAGCATGGATACTTTAGCATGGGTATTATGGCATCGAGGGAGGTGAGACAAACATACCAAGGAGAGAGCCCCGTAGAATAAAGGGTAGAGGGGCGACTAATTGATGAGGAAAACTAGGGGAAAGGAGAGAATTAGGGAATCAAATCTTTTCAATCGCAATTTATCATTCAATAGTATCTTATTAAAAGCCATAAAAACCTTATAGAAATTGAGTCAAACTAATTTAAATTCAAATTTAACCTAAATAACTCCAAATAAGCTTATCATCTAACAAAGATAATCCTTATACCTGAATAAGTTAAATTTGAAATCAATTCTAGAATAATTGAAGTTTTTAGACATTCTATAAAATATTTTTCCCATGTTGCATCAAATATTTTAATTTGAATTTTAAGCAAATGCAAACAGTTTTAAGAAAAATAGGAGTTTTGATTTTAGAGTTCTTATAAAAGCCATCTGAAAGTAAAAGCAAAATCGGGAACCGAAACCATCAAAATCAACAAAACCACCAAAATCACCTACAACAGTGAAAACATAGAAACCAAAACACTTAAGCCCAAAACTGATGAAATCTTTCAAAAACCTTGATATCTAAGATACACTTTGAATGAAAGCAACTATCAAAAAGGGTGGTTGAGAACCTTGAAAATTTTACCATAATAAATCAAGTCCTACCTTAGCTGCAATACAAGTTCCTTCAAAGGCAAGTTTAGCTAGAGATAGCACATGATCCCCATGTTCCACCAAAACCTGAGAATACCACTTGAGGAAGAATCTACCATAGTAACTATCATAGTCTCCTCCATCACGAAAAAATCCAGTATCATGTGGCCTGGAATTATAAGAACCTGCGTTATCTGGTCCTCTTGCCCAAGAAGTGTGACCTCTTGCTTCTGCAGCCTTTCTTAAACTTTTTAATAAGTACTGATCATAACACTAAAAGGAAACAGCAAAAGAAGAAATTGAGTTAGTAAGGGCTCAAAACTAAATTGGTGGGCAAACATCTTATTGTTGCAAAAGTAGTGAAATAATATGATTCTCACAGACAAAGAGAGATGTGAAAGTTTTAATACTTAAAAAAAAGTTGGGAATGTGTACAACAACAACAACATCAAGCCGTTATCCCACTACGTGGGGTTGGCTACATGAATCTTTTTTCTCCATTGCGTCCTGTTATAAGAATGTGTAGTACATACTAAAAAGTAAAAAAAGAAACAAGTCCTTACCGCTCTGGAAATAAGAATACTGAATGCTTCTATAATTTATACATAGAAAGGTAAATAAGTATATTGGTATCAATGTTTAAAAGCAAATAGGATGTTCAAGATTTTGAAATAGAGAAGAACCAGATGAGTTATATAATGACACAAAGGCATTGTTTTTTGCATAACAGGTTGTTGGGTTAACTAAAAAAGGAATGTAGTGTAAAAGGAATACTTTGGAATTATTTGGATGAGTGTAAAGTAAATTCAAGTGAGTGATTTTTTTTTTTTGGTTTGAAATAAAATGAATTTTGACTTTTAACAGGACACAATGGCGAAAAAGGATTCATGTAGCCGACCCCACATAGTAGGGCAAAGGCTTGATTTTGTTGTTATTGTTTGAAATAAAATGAATGTAGTGTAAAGTTTAAAAATGGATGGCGGTGGTGGTGGTCGGCAACTGGCGGTGGCGGGGGCAGCGGTGATCAATGACCAGCGGCGGAGGTTGCTGGCGGGTGGTGGAGGTGGCTGGCGACCGGTGGTGGTGGTTGGAGGGTGGCGACAGGGGCGGCCAGCGGTGTCCCGTTGCTGATGGAATCATAGAGGTGGCCGGCGGCGGTCAAGCCAGGTTGCTTGCGATGTAAAACGCTCTCTATCAAAACTAGGCAAGTTGTGGTTTACTTTAAAAATAAACTAGAATGATTTACACTACATTTATTTTACTTTACTTTTTCATCCAACCAAAACCAAAATTATCAAAAATCCTGCATTTGGAATACTTTATACCCTAAATTATTCTAACCAAACAACCCCTAAAACTAACTAGATTTCATGCCAATAAGATCTACCATGAAAGTGATAATATAATTTCTCAAAATCAACAAAAAATATAAAATGAACCTTGATAATTGATTTTTTTAGTTTAGGGCAAAAAGTTGTACACAAAAGTATATTGAAATTGTTTAAAATACATAAAATCGAGCACTTGTTACTATTAAAAATAGCTAGGGAGTGGCTCAACAGTTTTCAAATAAAATAATATTAAAAAAAATCAATATAGAGTTCATACCTTTTTATATTGTTATCAAAATATATTATAGGTTTTTTGCAAATGACGTAGTTCTAATTAGTAAGATAGTCACTCAAATAAATGAAATTTTTAAGCAATGGTGATAATATTTTAAAGATGGACTAGATTTAGTATAATAATGACCAAGTATCTAATATACAAGTTAATGGGTATGATAAATAAATATCAATTAATATTATTAGGATATAAAGTGATACATCACAGGAGTAGGTTTAAGTATCGTCGATCTATTATATAGAAGAATGAAAATATAGATGAAGATATAACTTTTGGAGTTAAGGCTAGATAATTAAAAAAAGAAGGTGCCCCGGGTATTATACATAAAATAAAAAAATGGAAACTTAAAAATAAATTTTACTAAATTGCAATTGTGTCATCAATTTTGTATGGATTTGACAATTGGGAAATAAAGACCTTTGATTACTAAGTTAAGTCTGGTAGGAATTAAAATGTTGATATGACATGCGACAAAACTAGAAAAAAGTAAATTAAAGAATATATATTAAAAAAGCAACTAGAGTGGCATCTACTACAGATAAGATAATTAAAAATAAGCTTAAGTGTTTGGACATGTATAAAGAAAGATAAAATGAGGATTAAGAATGAGAGCGATTATACATGAGATAAATTGGATAGAAGCTGTTCCAAATGATGATGAATAGTTTCAACAACACAAGCAACATGGATAAATAGAAAAATGAAAATTCATAAAGTCAACACCAAATAGTTAAGGAAAAGGTCAATGTTGATGATTACTTGGAACTCGCCAATGCCTGGATAGCGCCATCCATGCTTTTCTGGATAAGATGGGAAGCGTAATTCCCCACAAGGCCCTAGTCCAACTTCAATCTCAGAAAAAATGCCACTCACAAAGAACTCATCAAATTCCACACGAAAGCTTCTCATAAAGTCAAAGTAGACCTGCAACAAATGTATGGAAATTCTCTAAGAAAGCAGCTCAATTTTTTTCTCATTAAAAAAAATCAAAAAGTTCAACTAATTTTAAAATAAATTAGTAAGTGATGTTTGTTTAGAGGTGGTATTGCAAACATACAATGTTTTAAAAGCAAGAAATTGACATGAAGGCCCTTCTAGTCAGTTTTTTCCCCTTTCTTTATTAGATTTAAATGAGAATTTGACTCTTAACAAGACACAATGGAGAAAAATGATTCATGTAGCCAACCCTACGTAGTGAGATAAAGGCTTGTCGCTGTTGTTGTTCATAAAAAAAAAAAAATTAAAAAAAAACATTAATATGGGTATTCAAGAAAGCAAAAGCAACAAAAAGTACCAAACCATGAAAAAACTCGAGCAAAACAAATCTAGCGCTTAACACGCTATTGTTGCATGTTAATAAACAAATTATTCACCAACAGGCCTTCTTTGAAATGGTATAGCAATGCAACCTCGCCACTGTCTTCGTCAAAGACAACATTGATCTGAATATCAATTGAACATAAACTCCTTTCCAAAGGGTTCCAGCCATTCTATTTTATATTGACTCCTCTTGCTACCTTCTCCTACATAAATTTACTAACCCACTACTTTCCGTTATATGTACACAGAAAATCTTAATCAAGGAAATGATTTCATCTTAATCAAATATTATTTTGTTCGTATGAAAGAAAAAAATAAATAGCAAGCACCATTACCTCAACTGCTGTCCGGCCCCCAAGAACTCTTTCCTTGTCTATCCCCCATGTAAGACACTCCGGATTGCGCCGTCCCTTCCTATTAGTGAAATAAATATCTGGGTTTTTCTTTCCAATTTCAGACACCCAAATAGGCAGAGGAATGTACACATCATCTCCCACATTTCCTCCACATTCATGAAAAGACATGACCACCTAAAAAATGTGTAGTAAAAATATAATAAAAGTCAAGAGAAACACAAATGAGTTGAAACAATAGGAATAAGACCTAATATGATCTGAAACATAAAATGCAAATCAATCATGCTTACCAAAAAGAACAATTTTTTTAATATAGTTATTTCATTAGTAAATGTCGTGGATCCATGTTTTCTTTCACAACACAAATCTTCAATGGGGTCAAATTCTTCTCAGCTAAAGACCTCTGACACGAGAAAAGCCATCTATAACTAGCTCATTGAAGTAATATCAAACAACAGTTAGTGAAACTAGCTTGAATAATCCAATTTGCCTGATATGGAAGAAGTTATATCAATTGTACCTAATCCAGAAACAGGAGGAACAAAACATAAAAAATAAAAAGAAAGGAATAACAACTATATTAGAACACTTACCTGCAGTTTAAGACTTATTTCTTGCACCATCTGAAAAAGCTGCTTGTAACCTTGCCAATTGTATTTTTGTGGGCCATTGGCCTCCACTATTCCCCACCAGCAATCAACCATAACACCATCAACATTGACAGATTTTAGTACCTTCAACTGCTCCCGAAGCGCATCTGCATCTGCCAACTCACACTTCATACTGATGGTACCTAACTACGTCATTCAGATTTGCAGCAAAGCAAGGAAGGGCTCAGAAATTAAATGCCAAACTTTAATTCTATAGGAAAAATAGTTTTCAGTTAATTAAATAAGGAACAGAATGATTTGTAGACTTTATTGCTAAAGCAGAATTGAAATAGAAGTGCTGCAAGGAAATCAGAAGAAACGATACTCACAGGCAACATTACATAAACTGGAACGCATGGGGTTCCGGAAAAATCACGCTCTGGTCTCCTTGTGGGTTTAATATCCAACTATAACACCGAAAGGAAAGATAAGCAGTAGAGGAAGTTAGTGATAACTATCAGCAATTGGCTTTCCATAAAACTGCTCAGTCGGGTAAGGTAAAAGTTTCAAGCTATATATCATAAATAAATCACTGAAGTTAAAAGTAAAAAAATTTGACGTAGCGCATACAAGGAGCAATAAAAAGCCATTGATTAAATTTCTCTGCGGTAACCAAGTTGAGGATTGATGACACAAATTTTCAGGAATTTCAGAACTTCTATAGGACGTTGTGATACAATACATGGAGTCAGACTTGCTCATAATCATCCATCATGATCATAATCTAGATTTTTTTTATTAATTTAATGTTTAGCATCTGATGCATTTAGGACGTACTGTCTTTTCCATATTTGTTTTATATTTCATTTGGTTATTAAGGGCACTGTGGCATATGTACCACTTTCTGAAATAACGAAGAATATTTCCATTCCTTCCATGTACATGCGGCAATTGAAGGCAGGATTTAGACAAGCTGCCATGGGGCGGAAATCTTGGCATTCCTGCACATGGTGAATTGCCAAGGTTGGCATGTATGAGGCTGCAATAGTTGGGGCTCCCTTTGATCGCAAGCAAGGCTACTTCTCCACCTTTGGACGGCATCTTATGGGTTTGGGCAAATTTGGTAGGCATGTACAATATTGTTTCATAGATATTCTATCATCCATGTTAGTAATTTTTTAGTTTGATTGTTGTGATATTGCTTCTTTTTTTATATAGTTTATTAGGGGTGTTAAAATAGGTTTTCGGATCGGGTCAAATCAAACCCAAAATTGACACACTCTTAACACGCCTGGCCCAACCCTGACCCGTTTTTACAAACGGTTAAAATCTAGACATGATCCAACCCGTCCCAACCTGTTAACTTGGTTAAATGCGAGCAGGTGGGCAAGTGTGAGCTAGTGGGCGATGGCGAGTGCGAGCTAGTGGGCGATGGCGAGAGCAAGCAGGCGAGGGCAAGGGCAAGCGCGAGCAGCGTGACAAGTGTGAGCACGAGTGAGATGCAATCGACCAAGCATCCGTGTCAAACGGAATGGAAGAGTGAGAACATGACGAACAAGTCTGTCAAGTCACAACTTTATAAATTCTCAAACTCTTCTTTTATATGATAATACTCAGCAACTTCTAGCAAATATGATGCAATGTGACTATTTGCGCTTCTCAAAAACAAAAACAAAAAAGTTCCAACCCGTAGAAATTGGAATTCCAAATATGACAAAATAGACCTTAAATAATCCGAAATGGCGAGAGGTCATTGACGAGGAGATGAAAACTCTTGAGACAAATGAAACATGAAAGCCATTAAAATAAAAAATTCAAGGATGTCATCCCTATGGGATGCCAATCAGCCTTCACTACAAAATATAGATCGAATTAAAGCAAGAGTAGGCAAAATATCCATAGAATATGTGAAAAAAAAACTCGACTCAACTCATTGATTGGATACTTCCGAAGTAATGAAATGTGAAACACATAATGCACTCCATACATAAGTTCTAGTCAAGCAAGTTTTTCGATCTTCTCAGTATGGGCTTGCATATCTTGGGTTCAACTTACCAATTTAAATAAATCAAGACACACCAACCATTGGACTACCATTTATGCACATAATAACAAACATTGAATTTCATTGATTGGTGCTTGGCATCATAATACTTCTTTTGTCTAGCTTGATAGCTCTCATTTGGTCACTAATCAACAAAATAATGTAAGTGACCTCATTACCAATTATGAACCCACTGTCCTTTTCTCAACAGACTCAACCCAACATGTAGGTTTTATGCACTTTCCCCCATAAGGTGTATCGTGTTGTGTCATTCAAATGCTTGATTATAAATTATTATTGTAGGAAAACTATATTAGAGATACATGCATTTCACAAGCTTTATCAAATTCAAAGACACATACCAGATAGGATCTTCTAGAATATAAATATTCCTTTTTTGTCTTGTTGAATTGTATGATGACCTATAACTAGGCATACAAAAGGACACAATAAGGAAACAAATAACCGTAACAATACCTCATTATGAGGATAACTTTATAATGATATCTCCTCCCAATATTATGGGCTCCTACCTAAAAACCTAAACTATTAAATACGCCAACATTTAGCATTATCAAGCATAATGAAATTGGTTAAAATCTTAGATATTACGATAAATATTAATACAATACAATATACGCATACACTTAAATTGTTCAACCGCCACCAATGAGTTTCTTCAGGTTGAATAAGATGTCAAATGGCTTTTATAACAAATCGGACATAATCAAATTATACTAAATCAACATGCCAAAAGAAGCGCATGTGTTGCAATCTTCCTTGAATCACCCAACCACTTGGAGCTTTGGGCACTTGCAGATAAAAATCGTGAGGAAGAATAGGTCATTTGACTTTGAGACGCAGGACATTAACTAGATGTTACTCTCAAAACCCATCATCGCTAAATGCTCAAAAACAATGAGCATACCTTCTTCTTCTCACTAGCATCATTCCATATTCCGTCAAGGGGTAGGCCCTCGGCAGTCTTTTCCCCTTCGCCGCTATCGCTTCCAACGACCACCGCTGTCCGGCGATCGTTCCGGCCGGAGAAAGCGAACACGCTCAGTCCCTTGAAGCTGCACTGCAGAGAGTAGGAGGAGGAGCATACCCCAAAGTAAGGGGTTATGGACTTGAGGCTAAGGCCTCCCGCCGGCGCAGCTGCTCCGACGAGTGCCCCGCCTAGGTAAACCTGGGTTGAGGAGAGGCAGCCCATCGGGGTTCTCACAGAAGGTTACTCTGTTGTTCCAAAAAGATTTTGGCTCATCTTGTAAAAATAATATACATTTAAATCTATACTATCTATACTAAATTATTAATTAAAGTATGAGTAAGCAATAAATTATTATTTGCACTAAAACCTATCTTTGATTAAAAACTGACAATTAATTATTTACCTCAAGCTGCATTGTAGTTGATATTCTTTGGGTTCAATTCTTCATTTCGCAAAAAAGATATTATTGGTTTTGATTGTTGTAATTGTCTTGAAAAATTACCATTGCAAAGTCATTTATATTATTTACTAATGCAAAGTCATTTCTATATACGAATCTTGATGGGAATTTGAATAAATATATAGTATAATCATTGTTGTGAATCTAAATATTTTATGAATAATTTTGAATACTTAAGTAAATCCTTTGATGAGTAAATAATTGTCTTGAATAGTTGGAGGTGTTATGTTGTGTTCATTTTTAAACAACGCAACATAATGTCTCTTCGTTCATGAATCATATTGTAAACTTAGCTACTTATTATGTCTCTTCGTCATCTTCTTTCTTTTTTGGAATATTATCTTTCTAAGTTTTGGGCGCTATACAATGTGCAGTGTGGTAGATATTATTATTTTTTAAATTATAATCATTATTTTATAAGGTTGTTGCATATGTATATTTTTAGCAGGCGGGGTGGTTGTGGAAGATGTTTGTGTATTCAAAGATGTTTTTTCCCCTTTTTTCAAATGTCCTGATATTTTCTTGTTGTCTTCATCTTCAATTGATGGCTCAAATGTTTAACTTACTAAATAAGTTAAAAATTTTATAATTGTATGTAATTTGTTCAGTCGTTGATGCAATATTTGACACTAGGAATTTGGGAATGCTCATTTTATTGCCTCCTTTGTAGGTTTTGTTTTAAGTTTATTGCCTATGTATTAGAACAAAAAATATTCGATGAGACATACTTATTTATGGTGATATTTCAATAAAGAAGGGAAATGCTTAGGAGATGAAGGAATTTATTAGCTTACTAAACTTTTTAATACTATTTTGAAGACTAAAAAGATGCCAGATCAGTGGAGAATGAGTGTGTTAATTCATATTTTTAAGAATAAAGGTGATGCACATGAGTGTGCGAATTATAGAGGAATTAAGTTAATGTGTCATACTTTAAAACTATGGGAGTGAGTTATGGAGCGTAGGTTGCGGCGTGATATTAATGTTTCTCAAAATCAATTTGGATTCATGCGGGTAGGCCTACTATGGAAGCCATGCATTTATTGAGAGGTTTGATAGAGAAATATAGAGAGAATAAGAAGGATATACATATGATATTTATTGATTTATAGAAAGCATATGATAAAGTTCCAAGAGAAGTGATATGGAGAGTTCTTGAAAAGAAATGAGTTAATAATGCTTATATTCAAATCATTAAAGATATGTATGGAGGAGCTATTATTTGTGTTCAAACACAAGGTGGTTTGACCAAGTATTTTCCTATTTCGTTTGGATTACATCAAGGATCAACCTTAAGTCCATATATTTTCCTTTAGTAATGGATGTTCTCACTAGACATTTGCAAAAGGATATGCCTTGGTGTATGCTTTTTGTTGATGATATTCATTTTGTTGATAAAACTAGAGAGGGAGTTGAAGGTAAACTTGAATTATGAAGGTCAACTTTAGAGTCTAAAGGTTTTTGTTTGAGTAGATCTAAAACTGAATATATGAAGTATAATTTTAGTAGCAATAGACCTTGTGAGGGGATTGTGACTTTGGGCGATCAAGTCATTAATAAGAGTACACAATTTAGATATCTTGGATCTATTGTTCAGAGAGATGGTGAAATTGATGGGGATATTATTAGTAGAATGCAAGTTGGATGGTTGAAATGGAGGAATGCATCGGGCTTATTGTGCGATAGAAAAGTCCCCCTCAAACTTAAGAAAAAATTCTATAAGAAGGCAGCGAGACCTGCAATGCTTAATTGTACCGAATGTTGGTCTTTAAAAGAGAAGCATAATACTAAGTTAAGTTTTGCAGAGAAGAGGATGCTTAGGTGGATGAGTGGCTTGACCCTTAGAGATAATATATGAAATGAGCATATACATGAAAAGTTTGGAGTAGCTCCAGTGGAAGATAATATTATAGAGAGTCGCCTTAGATGGTTTGGTCATATTAGACAAAGGCCTTCCGATGACCCGATTAGGAAAGTTGAGGTATTAGATTTGACTTATGTTAAAAAAGGAAGAGGTATACCTAAAAAGACTTGGTTATAAAATATTAAAAATGATATTTATTTATTAGATTTAAATGAGAATTTGACTTTTAATCGGACACAATAGCGAAAAAGGATTCAAGTAGCCGACCCCTCGTAGTGGGACAAAGGCTTGATGTTGTTGTTGTTTGTTAAATGGTTTTTGAAATATATAGATCAATAAAATAGAGATGTGATTTAGTTTCTCATAAATGTACATTTTGGAATGAAATTCATTTTTCATTGGCTGAAGTTTTATAAAAGCATTTATTCTCTTGTTGGTATGTTTTAAATTATGTTCATTCCTATTAAGTTTTTACTTAATTTTTTGTTGAAGTACAAAGGATTGATGAATTTGTTGGATTACTTGCTGAATATTTATAGAATTCTATAAGAACAAATTGAGCTTCTTCTATCTTTTGTTTGTTATGGCACAAAAGCATCATTTTATTAGTTTTTGTTTACATTGATTACTATTGACATTTATTTTTCACAATTATTATTATACTCATTATTTATTTTAAAGTTCTTAAATAATTTAAACTAAATTTATATTGAAAGATTTTGGATGAAAAAAAAAATTATATTCAGGTGCATAAAGATATAAGAGTTGGTTGAAAGTGTTGTTCATGTGATTTTTTAGAGGTATACAGTGGCGGAACCACATGTGCCTTAGGGGGGGCAATTGCCCCCCATAATTTTTTTATTTTTCGTAGGAGAGCAAAACATTTTTTTGCCCCATCTAAAAAATTACTTTTGCCCCCCTAAAAATTTTTTTTGTCATAACTTGCTCTAAAATATCTATATATTTCTTCACATTTAGACTTTAGCTATAATATTTTATTTCATGCTTTTCATGACAATTTATATATATCTATACTACTATTATAAAAGGGGCTTGAGTTTCCTTCCTCCGACAAATCCTAGCCATCCATTTTAATTAATTTTAATTATTCAAATCAAATCTCAACCTTTCATTTTAATTATTATAATTATAATTATTTTGTTAATATCAATTATATTTTATTAATTACAAAATTAAATGACCGCTTAACCTCCGGTCCTCATTTTCGTGCGACATATGAGTCGTCGGGCTCCTCCTCTTCTCCTATTCTTCTTCTCATTCTTGGCTCTTTGTTTTTTCGCGCCAAAGGTGAAGCATCGGGGCTCCTCCTCTTCCCCATTCTTCTTCTTGCTTAAAAGTCGGCGGTGTTCCCTTCCGACTGTTCGTTTCATCGCGCAAAATATGAGGCATCGGACTCCTCTTTTCCTCATTCTTGCCTCTTCGTTTCTTCCCACGAAAGATGACTAAGCATCTGCATCTTATTAATAAACTCCCGTCTTTGTCATTCCGGCGCCTTTCTCTCCTAATATTTTTTTTACTTCTCAGATGAACGCGCGCGGGAGAGAGAAGTGACAGAGAACTTGCCGGGGTTGGCGACGGTGTCATTGCTTCATTGTTTTGGAATCGTTGGAGTCATGTCTGATGCTTCGATTTATCGTTACACCAACAAGGTCGAGCCCTTCCATAACCCTAGGTATGAAAAGGCCTGAAAATTTTCCTCATTTGTTCTCGATGTTTTCTCCTGTGACAGTTTTTTCACCTACTCCATTTTGGTGTATTCCAATTCGTTCTATTTGAATATTTTAATTTTATATTATTATTTCTCATTTCACTTCGGAATCTAATTAAATTATTAAAGTTTTATATTCATTTATGTTTCCCTGTTAATTAAATGTTTGCTACTGCCAACATTTTCATGCCCTGGTATTTTACCTACTCATCGCTAGCGCCATAAGCAAAAAAAAATATTTGAAATTTGCTCTTCCATGGAAACTGCACATGCGTTTATTAAGTTTGTCAAAATGATGATAACAAAAAAATCTAAAACAAACAAGCAAGAGAGTTAGATAAGGCACGGGATGTATTTTAGTATTGAATTATAAAATTATATTAATATATTTTCTATATGATAATTTAAAAAAAAACATATAAATTTTCATCAGTATAATTAACAATTAGAATTGTTTAAAGGGATAAAATAAATAACTTTATTTTTTAATAAAAATATAATTAAAAATTTAATAACATAAATTTTTATTTTTAAAATTTTATTCGCATGAATTTAATATCACTATTAATTAGGCAACCACAAATTTTATTAATTTTTTTCATACATAAATTTTATCTTCTTATAATATATATTTATTAAATTCTAGCAACGTGCACTTTGTGCACGGGCAATAAAACTAGTATATATATATATGTATGTATTGTATTTGTCCCCCTCAAAATTAAAGTTGGTTCTACCCTTGAAGGTATATTTGAAGTTTTGTGTATGATTGAATTATGAAATTGATCATTAATTCTATTACAGTCAAGAATATGATTTCCGCTTTGCGATTCCGCTGGACGGTTCTTTTCTGGTCGGTCGAACTCCCAAACTCGATATGGTTCTCCTCAAGCGCTCCATCCCCGCCAATCCAAAGAAGAGGCATGGAATGCATAAAGCTGGGAAGTCAGATAAGGGTTTTGGGTTTGATGTTAATAATACCATTGGCAGGTAAATTTCTCTCTTTACTTTTTATATAGAGTCCATTTTAACTCAAGCTGAACAAGTTTAACTAAGTTTTTGCAGGGCAACCCTACAATTATTTCTTCTATTGCCCCCTTTGCTTTGTTTTGTTTTTTTCATTCATAAGTACGATAGATGCAATCTTTTCATTGGAAAACCAATCATCGCATCTGTAGATATTTTCACAACATCATTATGCACCTTCGTTTTTCAGTTTTATAAGGAAATAGTGTCTTTGGTCTCGTTTGGGACTCGTTTGGGACGGTTTTTTTATTGCTTATTGAAGCAGCTGTTTAATATAAAAATTAAAATTTTTGTTCTAAAAAGTTGCTTAAAAAAACTGTAAGAAAGTCGTCCCAAACGAAGCCTTTGTCTACTCAATCTTGCTTTCATACATATAAACTCTTGGTCTTCAGATTGGATTGAGTTTTTCTCTGAGCATAGATTGGGCTATCAACTGAAGATAGCCTTGAAACGGTTTGGAGACTGTGAGATCTAAGAAAGGTAACTATTTGCTGAAATGTAACTTGCACTTATCATAAATAGGCATTTCTTTATATTGTTGAAAGTTCTGTAAATAAAGGGATAGACATTTCTTTATATTGTTGAAAGTTCTGTAAATAAAGGTGCAGCATCCTTCACTCAGGAATAACTGCAAAAAAATGGGGGAAGAAAAAAAGGCTAATATTTTCCTTTCTTTAGTGTTCAAATCTTCTATGAGTTTTCTAATTGTACAGAAATTTAAAGGATTTTTTTTTTATTATAAGGGTAAAAAAATTTAAAATATTTAAGTTATGAATTAAGTTATAGTTGGATGAGCAATTCACTTATGAGGAAAGAAGAAGGCGAGCAGGGAGACAGAGGAAACTAGGAAAACCGAGAGAATGGAAAATGTATTCATGTGTTTAAGTTACAGAGTACAGCCATATTTAAAGACAGTAAAATAGGTAGAAATGTAAATAACTCAGTAATACATATGTCAGTATTCTAATAACTTATTCATTATTTTCAGTAGAAAATCATTGAGTTTTATCAAAGTGATTTTTTTTTTTGTATTTTCTGCTTTCATCAGAAAATTACCCGGTTATGAGAGTAGAGATATTAGATTTGACTTATGTTAAGAGAGGTAGAGGCAGACCTAAAAAGACTTGGTTAGAAAATATTAGGAGTGACCTTTCTTTATTAGATTTAAACGAGAATTTGACCTTTAATATGACACAATGGAGAAAAAGGATTCATGTAGCCGACCCCACATAGTGGGATAAAGACTTGATGTTGTTGTTGTTGTTGTTGTTCTGCTTTCATCGAATTTACCAAATAACTTATAACAATTAATAAATTGTGATCTATGAATTTTATTTGTTTTTTTTTTTTTTTTTTTTGCATTATTTTGTGCTTTCCACAACAGATTTGAGTTAAAAATATTATATCTTAAAATATCTTATATGAAATTTGATATTAGAGCTTAATGTTGCTTCTGAACAAAATATCAAAATATGTAATTTAAATTAAATCAATTTAACCATGATTCTAGACAATTTTAATATGACTTTTATGAGGTTAATAAATAAATAAGGTTTTAATATTTGTTATTTGGTGATTATAGCGACCAATATAATTGAGTGATCATATTAAGAGCTTTAAATAAGGTTTCTAATATGTTTGAATATTTTTATACGGTTTAATGGTCTTGTATTCAAATATTATTTGTTTGTTGATTATTATGTTATTAATTTATGCTTCATTATATATTTTAGGCAATATATTTAACATGAGGTAAGCTACAATTCATTAAAAAACAATAAATAAGGTTATATGCGGAGCTTCAGAATTTGCTACTATGTCTGATAGTTGCGGAGCCAGAAATTTTGTTCAGGGGGGCCTAACGAAAGTTGTGCTCAAGGTTATAACTCGTGAGTCCCAAGAGAGGAGCATTGATGCTTTTCATGTGTCTAGAAAAAAATATTGGTGGCTTCTCTGGATTAATAAATAACTTTAAAAGGAAGAATTGCAAAAATTAGAGCAGATTTTCTCGTTGGCGAACTTGTTGCTCTATTAAACCACTAAAACAATCAGCTTTAAGCCCCTTTAAGCTTTCAATTTCAGCTTTAGTATGGAAACAGAGAAAAGAGCTGAATATACACAATATTGATTTGGTTTGGTGCACTGTCATGAGTAAGCGACCGCAGCATTTCCGTTGCGCAAAAAGAGCTAGGAAAAGCTAAACCCTTCACAGTAATTCATTAGATCATTAGCAGTACAAAAATAATTAAATAATTGGATGATAATTTAATATTAAATTATTATTATTGGATAATGAATAGTTAATTACTGATAAAAGTTTTAATAAAATTATATTTAAATAGCTAAATATTTTAAATAATAATTAAGCATCAAAATCTCTTTTCATCATTTTGTCCGCAATGAAAAGTTATTCTTTCCTCTCTCTTTCAATATTTTACCCATTAGTATTTCTCTCTCTCTGCAGCTAGCATTGCATGGTCCGATTAAAGGTGGATTAAAGACTATAAATGGAAGAAGTCTGTAACAAATAAAATGAAACTTCATAAGGGGTTCTAACTCCCTCCGCCTATTTTTATGTTAAAATTATTAGAATATCATATAAAGCTCCGCAAACGCATAACAACTCAAGTATTTAATATGGTCAAATCTGTGTGGTTCAGTTGGCAGCAAAGTCGCGAACGCGTAAGGAAAGGGCGTCTCCTCCGGCGTGATGGTTTTCCTCTTAGCCGAGGCTGGCTGCAACGTCCATGTATCAGGCGACACCCTTCGTCGCTCACCGCCGATGCTCGCAAATTCCGTCGCCATATCGGCCGCCTCTCCTAAGCCGAAGACCGCTCTATTGTCTCTCGCTTCTTCTCTGGCTTCTCCTCCTACATCCAAATCCCTCAAAACTTCCGCAGGTTCCAATACCTTCGCTGCCCAAGATTATATACTCCCCGATCTTTGGGTTTCATTGTTTTTTAGCTTTTTTTTTGGTTATTTTGCGTATAGGGTTTAGATACCCGTGAGCCATGATAGAGGCTCTTCTTGTAGGGAGAGCATCGCTCGGGTGCTTTTACTGGTGGCTCCGATCCAGTCGCAGATACTGAATCTGCTGCTCGAGAAATTGCCCGAGCATTTCAATGCCGATGCAGCATGTGTAGGTCGTTCGTTGAAGGATGACATTGCGAGGTTAATCATGAACCAACTACGATCGCTCGATTTCCTTGTGGATTCCGGTTCTTTTGCCGAAAAGCTTATGGAGGTACTTTCTATTTCCCCTCCCGGGCTTAAGAAGGATCTAATCGGTTCGCTTCCGGAGATTATTGGCGACAAATGCCATTCCACGGTCGTCAGCGTTCTTGAGAAGATGCTCCTGGAAGATTCAAACGTCATTGTTCCCGTGCTCGATTCTTTCACTGCTCTGAATTTGGATGAGCAGCTGCTGGAACAGGTTCAGACTTTGTTATTCATGATTTCGTTTTAAATATGTTTACTGCTACTGTGCACATGCTGTTAAATTTAAAATTTATATCTTAAATTTAGGGGGTGTTTGGTATCGGATTTACTTGTCGTTTTAAGTAGGATTTACAGTAAATCCAACCAAACGCAAATCGGGGCACTGCAAATCCGGCAAATCGGTAAATCCATGATTTACGGATTTACGCCGTAAATCCTCGTAAATCCTAATCCCTTTTCAATTCGGATTTAACACAACTTACAATTGGTGAGGAAAAGCGGATTTACGGAATTGGCCGAAGAAGCGCGCGAAAGGGAGAAAGTTACCTTCACAGCGAGCGAGTGAGCTCCCGTCGTTCCTTCAGATCAAAATGTTGTTACGTCAGATTCAACATGAAGGGAAAGTCGTCGAAAGAGCGAAGTAGAACAACAACTAAGGAGCCGATGAAGCGACTTGTGCAATCTCTAAACCTGCGAAGCAACGAAGCCGAACAACAAGGACGAACAAGAGAAGATTAAAAGCAAACCCTAGACGCCTCAGCCATTACTGGTTAACTTAATTAATATAATTTAAAATATTAATAATAAGTAGTAATTAGAATAATTAATAATATAATAGTTATGTGTATAAATATTTATCTAATTTAACTTTAATTTAAAATATTAGTAATTAATATTAGTAATTAAAATTAATATAATCTTTAATTAATATATTTAAAATATACATTAATAATATATAATAATATAATAATATAAATAATAAATAATTAATGAACAATTAGATTCTTAAGTAATTAAATGAGATAATTAATATATATAATTTATAATTAAAACTAATAAAATAGTATTAAATAATAGTAGGATTAATTAGTTAAATAATTAGTTATTTCAAAATAATTAGTATAGGATTAAATATAATTTAAATAGAATAATTATTATATAATATGTGAATAAAGAACAAATAAATTTATAATTTGATGCGGAAGCGAATTAAGTGGCTTCATATTACTCCTCAATTTTAAATCTCAAATCTGTTTAATCCTATAATCTTGTGGCAAATACTTTTTTGGATTTACAAGATTTAAAAGTTGTTATCCAAACACAATTCAGGATTTATGAGCCTAGGATTACTAAATCCATATTGCAGGATTTAGTAAAGATGAGGACATCAGATTTGACACGTGTACCATCGTCGGGATGACGCAGGTCGACGGCTATGATCCAAACCATTTAATGTGATTTTTTGTCGCCTAGGACTGCTAAATCCGATTTGCAGGATTTAGTAAGATGAGGACATCAGATTATTTGACACGTGGTTACCTCGTTCGGCAGACGCAGGTCGACGGCTATGATCCATGATGCCTTTATTTCTGATTTATTTTGTATTTTATTTATTCTCGCATTTTTCTTTTCCTAGTTTACCCCTGTGGGTATTGAGTCGCTATTATAGCCCTGAGGCATTTCTGTCTTTCTAGCTTTGTTTCATCTGGCCTATTTAAAGGAGGCCCCATGCATTGTACTAGATGATGAATTGTTAAATGAAATTTTATGTTCTTCGTTTTGATCTCTAAGTGAGTTCATGAGAGGAGAAACTCGAGGAGGGTGATTTGTAATACCCGACAGCCGCCGGTTGATTCTGAGCTCTCGGTTAGTCTTTTGACTTATCTAATTTTCCTACACCTCTTTCTCCTCACTACTGCCAATATTCCCCTTAATTTCCCCATACCTGATCCCCTCCCCAAAGCCCATCCCGTCGGCACCTAGGGCCTCCCTAGCCGCCGGCCTCCTTTCCCAACCGTCGGCCACCACCCATCCCGCTGCCCCTCTTCCCTAAGCTCTAAACCTGCCGGCCCCCCTTTGGCTCTATTTTGAATTTCAAATTCAAAAGGGGAGTTACTACCTTCCTAAAATGAGCTCAAGACATTTAGGAAAGTTTCCTATTTGGATTTCAATCAAATTTTGAAATTCAAATACTTTCCAAAGGCTTGGACTTAATTTAGGAAACTTGCCTATTGAATAAAATCTGAAAATTATTTCAGATTTGATCTAAATCCACTAATTAATCCTTGGGGCCCACATCATTAAAACAAAATCCCTTTCTCCCCTCCCTATTTGGTCGTCCACTCATCCCCCTCTCCCTCTCTCATATCTCATTAATTACCCCCAATTAAATACCCTAATTCCCTCATAACCGTCCGCCCCTCCCCCCTTATGGGATTAATTTGAATTTCAAATTAATTTCCCTCCAAATCCACTTAACTTGAAATCTAATTTCAGATTACTAATCCTCACACCAAAACCCCCACCTAGCAAAAGCCACCCCTTCTCCCTTTCCTCCCACCTGAATCCCTCCTCCCTCCTTTTCTCCTTGGCCAACTTCCCCAAGTGATCAAGGATCCTTCTAAGATCATGCATGGCCGATCTGGAGATTGATCACAGCTTTGCTTACAACGCCCAAGGAGAGATCGATATCCTCCTCTCTCCTTTCTACGAACCCGATTGGGAATACGACGGAATGGTGGAAAGATACGTCAAACGAATCCTCTACTGCCTCGCGGAGACGATCAAACTCCAACAACCCAGAGTACCATGGGTTCTCATCGGACGACCACCCACTTCCCCAACTCCGACTCCTTCCCTGATGACTAGTCCCCTCGGCATCACTTGTTTATTAGTGGCATCCTTAAGTTTGTGTGCAATCCTCTTTCGCTAAGCCGAGCGACATCAAGAGTGCATGTGAGGGACTCCAAGGTGAATGATCTAGATCTTTAACCGTGGATTTTTGTTAAGAGCCATTTGCTTTATTATTTATTTGTTGAAATGATTTTGTTAGTCTCATGTTGCTTTTAATTGTAATCAATTGACATTACTTGGTTCTTCCGTGGAGATTTTCTTACGATCTATCTTGGAACGCATTCGTTTTTAATTAGCTACGCAAAGTTCATAAGTTATTAATTTCCTACAAGCAATTCTTGCATCATTTTACATCATATTTGGTATCAGAGCATGGTTAAGCATGTATTGCATGTGCTAGAAGTTCCTAGGAGTCTAGTTAACCTTTCCAAAACTCGTTTGCTTGCATACCATTGCCTAGTTAATGTATTTCCTTGTTTTTCCTTGCTGCCCATTAAATTCCTGCACCGTTTACATCACGTTAAGTAAGTCTATTTCGTTGTTTAAGTGTTGTCCTTGTCACAATAACATCCCTAGTTGTCTAGGTTACTTAAACAATCATTATGGCTTGCTGTCTGGAAAATTTATGCAGCATTTAGAGGACTTTTGGTGACCCTAACCTAGTGTTTAGGTGCTGTCTACTTCCCAAAACCCATCCTAAACACCTAGGCATCTTCACCAACTGTTGTGGTTTGCTGTCCAAACAAAATCTTCACAATTTAGTTGGATTAGGAGCATTTCATTTAGTGTCTTAGTGCTGTCCAGCCTTAGCAACCTTCCTAAGTGACTAGGTTACTTAAACCACTAGCTTAGCTTGATATCTAAACATTTTTTGCACTCTTTAGTGAGTCTAAGTGAGCCTAACTTAGTGTCTAAATGATGTCCCTTACACACAGTCTTCATTAAGCATCACTTAGCACTTTCCAATGGACCCGACATAACTTCAAAAGAAGTTAGATGACCTAGTTAGTCTTGTGGGCTCTCTAACTAAAACCACGAAGGAGGAACATGTTGACTCTCCCCATTCTAGGTACGTGCCCCATTAGATCAATCATTATAATCGGAAGATTCCCAACACTGCTTATCAACCTAGACTTGAGCCTAAGCCACAACAACATCACTTAGAATCACATTACCGTCTACCACCTTTGATGGTTCATCGACCCTTACTACTTTAGGGAATGAGTTAGACAGTTAGAGTATTATTTTGAATCACGTCATATCCTTGAGTACCACCAGGTTAACATCGCTAAGTCTCACTTAAAAGGCCAGGCTCTTCAATTTTGGATGAGATTGGAAGATCATAAAGAGTCTCGTGGTGAGTACCATAATTCTAATTGGAAAGACATGAGGCGATAACTTAATCTAAAATACCGACCATCTACCAGCGACCAACCAACTGGTTTTAAGCTTAGGTCACCCTGTGTTCATCAAACCTTTGGGTGTTACACTTTCAAGACCCCTACCCCTGGTGACCGTCATCTAGAGCACCGCCCTACCTCTTTTGTTGGAACAAACCTTGTACATGCATTACTGTGGTCGAGACCACCCATCCTTTAGTAACATCAAGGTTGCTGCCCCACTTTGTAGGTTTTCTCATAGCCTCGATGGCCGACCCTCTATTGGGCCTTCTGTTGGATCGGTTCCGTATGACTCCCCACTTGGGTCGACTTCTAACCATCCCAAGCAACCATTAGCCTCCCCAGCCCTTGACCCTGCAAGTGTAATTATAATAAAGAAATGCATTAAAAAGAAAAGATCCACTGAACCTGAGACTGAGTGCATCTATTTCGTGGATACTAATGATATCACTGATAATGAATAATTCTTTAAGGATGAGATTAAAGTGATTACATTAGACTCCCTACATGATTTAAATCATGATTTAGGAGAGCTAGAACCTTTAAACCTTGATACCTTAGCCCATTATGATCCTAATCTCATCAAGGATATCCCTTTGGATAAGGTCTACATGGAGGATATTAATTTGATCTCGAACGAAATTGATCTGATCTTGAACCCTTTGGAATTAAATTTAGAAGATTTTGATGTAATCATATATCCCACTGAGATGACTCTGAATAAGTCTGATTTAATTTCGAATAATTATGATTGCGACGAGGATAATCTTGAGTTAAAAGTGGTTCAACTGAATTTACTACCTGATTTAACTCCCGATTTAATTGACCATGAATTTATTTATGCTAGGGTTACAATCAAACTTGATTATATTGAGAATAATACTATGAGTTCAGAAGATAGTGATTTGAGTCTGAAAGTTTTTGAGCCTAATTTGAATAATGAGTCTCCTCTTGTTTTATTGGAGTCTATTTTAGGAGTTGTTCATCTAGATTTATATTTCTTGATTGGACTTACCTCTCCATTCCTCGTACCGACATTAATGTTAGAGAGAGTTTTATCCCATACTCTCATGACATCTCTCTAACTGTTGTCCCCACATCTGTTTTGGACACTCTATCCCATCTTTTGAGTCCCATACCTGCTCGTGACTCTTTGGGCTATCCCATTATGGCCGAGTCAGGATCCATCACCTTATCTTGTTTTTGATTTATTTGTTTTGCCCGCTATATTCTTGTCCTCCCCTGTTAAGGACTATCTATCTCCTACTTGGATGAATTTGTTAGATTATATTGTTGCCCCTAGGAGACTACCTATGACCCTAACTGAAATTTCCTATAGAAATGCCGTGGTAGCTAAGGATGTCTTCATTGCTCCCTCTATACCAGTTCCTTTAGACCTGAACACTTTAGATCCCCTTATTTCGTGACTTTTCCACCTTTATTCCATCTATGTGTGCTTATGAGTTAGTATGTTGTGTGTATTTTTGTAGTATGTTGTCTTCTAAAATTTTCCTTTGTTTAAAATTTATGAGTCCACATGACATTTCATTCACCTTGTATATCAAGTCTCTTTGATGTGAAACTACTAGGAGTTACGATTATAAATGGAAAAGAAAATTGTTTTAAGTTTTGCTCTTATAAATTTATTTCGATCATGCAAGAGAGAGTTAAGAATTTGAAAAATTTAACTTGCTTAGGCCAAAGATTAGCAATAGAGAATAACCAAGACTATCCTTTCAAAAACCAAGGTAATATTAAATGTGAAGTACAAGTAACATAATCCAACACTTAACAATGAGAGGTTCACCTCAAGGCCTTCTCACTCAACTATTTGTAGGCTTTAGCGGAGAAATATGAGCCAAATAATGAAAGATATTACCACTACAAGATGGCGCCGAAGAACTTTGTTGGTGGAGAGGTAGCCGGTGGAGATGGATGTAGTGGGTGGCCGACGAGGCTCCAATCGTAGCTTGAAAATCGTCGGTCGATGATGCTTGCAAGAATCGGGATGACTCGCTCCAAATATTCTTCAACGGTGGTGTCCTCTTCAAATCCTACGTCAAAGCACGGAGATCTTAGGATGTCGATGCTTCCGTCGGCGTTGAATACAAGACCCCACTCAAGTTTGAGATTCGCCATTCAACATTGAAGTGAGGGATGAAGGGCGTCGTCTTCTTCTTTTCTTGCTTTAATTTCCCAAGAGAGGGAGTGAGGAGGTGGTCGGCCAAAATAGAGGAGGGGGCGGGTGGATGGGATGAAGAAAATTGGGTTAGGAGAGGGGAGAAGGAGAGTTACACCAAATCTGAAATTATCTTCAGAATTTGAGTAAATTAGGGGGAAGCAAATTTGAAATTGATTTCAAATTATCAATAGAATTAAGGGGCAATTAATGGGCATTAATGTGGCCCATTAAAGAAGAGGCCGACAGCTCATGAGAGAGAGGGAGATGGTGATTTCAAAAACCTGAAATTTAATTCAGGTTTTGAACGAAATTAGGGGAGGATTAATTTGAAATTGATTTCAAATTAGTGGGGTAATCAATGCATTAATTGGTGGCATGAAGGAGGGCCCATGCAAGGTGGCCGGCGGCTTCTAGAGAGAGGGATTTGGTGTGGGAGCAAGTAAATAGTTTCCAAATCGGCTCATTAGATTTAGGAAGGGTTAGAATAAAATCCTTTCGAATTTGAATTTCATCATGATCCAAATTTTAAAACTTTTATAATTAGGAAATTCCAAAATTGGAAAGTTTTTGAAATTCAAATTTTGAATTTTCAAAATTGGAATACGTGGGGAATGGGGGATGAGGACGGCGGTTGAAAGTCTCACTGTCGGATGGTGGTGGTGGGGTGTCCGGCGGTCAAGAGGGAGGCTAGGGCCGGCGGGGTGGGAAAAAGGAAGGGAATCGGATGATGGGGATAGGCCACGAGTCACGGACTCTTCCAATGACTGGTGGGTATTGCGTTTCGCCCTCACCTTGGGCTCTCGTTCTCCTCTCTAGCTCTCCACAAGAAGAAGAAGAAGAAGAAGAAAGATAACTAAAGCAAATTTCATTCAAAATATTCATTAACCATTACAAGAGAAAAGACCCAAATATATAGGTCTCAATCATACAAGAAAAGTAAAGACTAAAATGCCCTCAGGGCCCCAACATGGCTCAACTCAACATAAGGGTACAAAATGAATACATAAATTAAAGTGGAGGTAGGCTTGGGATCTCACCAGGTATGGTCGCACAAGGCTCGTTTGTAAGTGGATTGCATGGGTTAAATTCTGGTCCTTCGAAGGTTACTAAATCTTCTATGTTAAATGTGGGATTAATGTTGAAACGTTCGGTAAGGTCTAGTACGTAAGCATTGCTATTCACCTTTGAGATTATCTTGAACGGTCCGGCACTTCTCGCATGCAACTTCTATGCGGATCTAGGAGGAAAACGCTCCGGACGGATCCGAACCATCATAAAGTCTCAAATTTCGAATTCTTTAGTTCTTCTTTTATGATCAGCCATAAATTTATTATGTAACTCCTGGAGATGAGATGCAAATGATGATGCTGACTCTGATGTCTTAACTCTAGCTCAAGATTGGGTAGATTGGTATTGATTCAGTCTGTAAGTGTAATTCCAGTGGTTTTTTTCTTTTATTGAGTAAAATATAATAAGGTGGATCCTGATACTAAGTAACCTTGCACACACACACACTCAATGAGAGAAATTCTATAAGTTTTAGAATTTTTTGTTTTCAATCCTTTCGTACGGGACGATTCAAAATCATCTTGGACGATCAATGTGGTTAATATAGATTTTTTTTTATATTTTATTTTGTATGATTAATGTCATTTCTTTCCATCTTTTTTATATTGTGGTTTGCTTGCATAATCAATTCTTTATAAAATTAGTTTTATTTTAGTAAAAAGTGATAACTTGTATCTATTTTTCATACCACAAGTGAGATAATATCTATTTATATTTAATCTTTGTTTTGTTTCTGCTCATCTAGGCTGATATGTGCCATGCTTATCAAATCATAAAAAATGGTGATTTGAAGGATGAAAATATCATTATTTTCATGTATGATGATATTGCATACAATGAGGAAAATCACAGACAAGAAATTATAATTAACCATCCAGATGAGGGTGATGTGTACGTCAGAGTTCCTAAGGTTTTATTTTGATGGGACTTGACAATACTATTATTTTTTTTCTGGTAATTTATATATATTTTCTAACATCTTGCTTTAAAATATCTGTAGTATTATGTAGGAAATAATGTTAATGCTAAGAATTTTTTTGTTCTCCTTAGAAATAAAAAATCTATATTTGATGGCTGTAAGAACGTTATTGATAGTTGATATGATGATCATATTTTTATATTTTATTTAGACCATGGTGGCCCAGGAGTTATACGTTAATTTTAACTGAATTAAAGCCAATTGAAGTTGTTTATATCCCTATAAATTTTCAACAGATCAAAAAGACAATTTTAACTTGATGCTCAATTTAAGTTGTTCTATTATTTGACATGCATACATATCCTTTATATTTATACGGATAATTTTATCTCCGTTCTGAATAAAAAACATGATTCTAATTTCGACAAAAAGGTGATAATAAATTGCCATTTATAAAATATGCAGCTGTATTAAGTAATATTTTTATATTTAAGATAATGATGGTCTTATCTTTTTATTTCACGTCATAAATCTTGAGTCTTGTGAATATGAGAGTATTTTTGATGATCTTCTCCCTGAAGATATAAGTATATATGCAATAACAATATCTAATGCTGTGGACATAAATTGGGAAATTTATTGTCCTGGAGAGAGTCCTAGTCCACCTTCAAAATATTGGAAATGTTTGGGAGATCTCTATAACATATTTTGGATGGAAGACAGATACATCCTCTTATCCAAGATATGCTGTAGAGGTCTCCTAAATATATTCAGTATTCTGAAGGTGGACTAGGATTCTTTCCAGGACAGTAAGTTCCTGAACTTCTCTACATAGTATTAGATGCCGTTGTTGCATATATATTTATATCTTCAGGGAGAAGGCCTTCAAAAATACTCCCAGATTCACAAGACTCACGATAGATGACCTGAAATAAAAATGCAAGGCCATCATTATCTTATATATATAAATATTACTTAGCATAACTGCATATTATAAATGATAATTCATTACCATTTTTTTGTAGGAATTGGAATCATGCTTTTTCTTTAGAATAGAGATGATCCGCATAAAGGTAAAGATATGTAGGCATGCTTAATAATAAAACAACAACATAAATTGAGCATCAGTTAAAATTGCTTTCTTGATCTTGTTGGAAATTTGTAAGGATATAAGCAAATTCTTTTGACTTTAATTCAGATAAAATTAATATAAAATTCATGGGCCATCATGGTCTAAATAAAATATAAAAATTTGATCGTTAGGTCCACTGTCAATAACTTTCCCACTACCACCAGATATAAATTTTTAATCTCCAAGGAGAACAATAAAATTTTTTTTAACATTAACATCATCTCCTATATAATAGTGCAGATAATTTTATGCAAGATGTTAGAAAACATAGATAAATTACCAGAAAAAATCATGGTACTGTCAAGTCCCATCAAAAACAAACCTTGGGAACTCCAACGTACACATCACCCTTATCAGGATGGTTAATTATAATCAATTGTCTGAGGTTTTTCTTATTGTATGTAATATCATTATACATGAAAACAATGATATTTTTATTCTTCAAAGCACCATTTTTATGATTTTATAGGCATAACATTTATCAGTCTAAATGAACAGAAACAATAGCAAGATTAAATATAAATAGATATTTTCTCACTTGTGATAGGAAAAATAGATTCAAATTATCACGTTCCGTCAAAATAGAACTAATTTTGTAGATAATTAGTGATGCAAACAAATTATAACATAAAAAAGATGGGAAGAAATGACATTAATTAGATAAAATAAAGTAGAACAAAATTATATTAATCACTTCAAATAGTCTTCATAGTCTTAACTTGCAGTTTGGTTGAAATGTTTTTTATCAAGCAATTTCTCATATTCAAATACAAGTTTCACTATAATCGATATGACAATTATTATCTTAAACATATATCATTGAATAAATATCACAGTAAAGAAAATGAAAGATGTGAATATCGTTTAAGACGATGTTCTTAATTCAGCTATCTTAACACAGATGCCCTAATTAGGATTTCTATTTTTATCCTATCGTCTAAGAGGATTTTAGATCGTTCCGTATGGTATGATCAAAAATAAAAAACTCTAAAACTTACAGAATTTCTTCCCCTGAATGTATTTGTGCAAGGTTAATTAGCATCTGAATCCACATTATTATATTTGACTCTAGAAAAATAAAAACCATTGGGATTACACTTACATACTGACTTAGTCCTAATCTATCCAATCTTAAGCTGGCTTGAATTATAATTGATCTTGTGGAGCAGAAAGATTAGTAATAGGATAAGCAAAATAGATGTGTAGTAGTAACGGTAGTAAGGAAACATGAATGCTAAAAGTGTTTATTATCATCAAAATTATAATTCTTGAATCCATATTTGCAACACACAAAACGAAATGCAAATCATACTTAAATGAAGCCACTAAATTTTGAGAGGAAAATTTTAAATAGAAGTTCAAAAAACTTATCATTGATTTGAGTGATGCAGGCAAAACTAGAAAGAAGAGACAAGTAGGAGAACACTAGGACAAATTAAAAACCAAACTCTATTCAATCTAATAAGCAAACATCCAAACAAAACATCAAAGCCAACAAAAAGTCGAAACAAACGAAACAAAATTATAACATAAAACTACTATCCTCAGAACAACCGGCAAGCAATTTCATCACATGCAACGAGAAGTTGGAAATATATGAAAAAGTGCTTAGGCTTGCAAACCGAGGGTTCACCACGGCAAAAGGGTCCAACGTCCAACCAAACTCTCCTACAAATGTCTTCCAAAATCAACCAACAAACAATTTCCAAAAGCTCAAGAAGAAGGTTACAAGTGGAGTGGAACTTGCGTAGAGAAGAAGAGGTTAGAAGCTAAGACGAAATAGAGAGGAGGAAGAGGTGGAATAAGTTCTCAAGCTTTTCCAAGAGAAGAAGCCCTCAGGTTTTTAACTTCTTTTAAGTTAATCAACAACCTTTCCAAAACCAAATCTTCTCATATATATAGGCACAAAAGGAAAACCAAACAACCAACATTGGACCTTCAACCAAACCAATCAGGTAAGAGGAAGAAGAAGGGTAAAAGACACCACAAATAGCTCCCAAAAAGCTGCACGAAAAACAGGAAGGATAAGCCATGGGAACACAGCTAGGGAGGGACCCGAATAGCCAGCACCAGAAATGGGCTGGAGGATGCTCAAGAAAACAGCCAGGGGAAGAAACCGAAAAGCCTACACAAGCACCCAGCAGGCATATCACGGGTACAACACAAAGAAGAATCCAGGGAGATATAAGAAGTGGAAGAAACAAGCTCTACTTCAAATACATTTTCAAATTTATGAGCTAGAAAGTGCAATTACTCCTCTAATAATAAATTAAACTTCAGCTCAATCATTAATGAGCTAGCACAAAGAAGTTCACAATATTTCAGCTCAAAACCAGAGCAGCCAAAGCCCAACCCGAGAGTAGCCATGGCTCAAACCTTGAAACAGTAAACAACCCAAAGAACAAAGGACCCAAAATGCTAGCAAACCTAAGTCATGCCATGCCCAAGCACTTCCTACCATGATCATTGGATGCTTTTCATCATTGGATAATAAATAAAAAAAACATAAAACACAACTAAATATTGTTCAAATTACATCAAAACATAAATATCCAAAATATGAATGCATCATTGAGGCAGGCCCAGTCGTCGACCAGAGTCTGCCTGTCTTTAGAACTGCACTAAGGACTTGTATGCCTTTCTCTGATCCAAAGATAATTTTTCCTATGAGATTTATACTATTATCCACATGCATGCAATTGGTCATTATATCAAGCAGTTCTTTTTGTGCATCACATTTTTTGGACGATCTTTCAGCCTTTCAGGTGAATTATAAAACTATCACAAAAAATAAAAGGTGATTTATCTTAGTTGTATAGAAGAAACGGTATCCATACCATATGCCTACCTTATGCAAATAATAAATGAGGTCTGCATCACGTTGGTTCACAACACTTGGTGTAAACGAAAGAGAGTTATCCTCAATGAAAGTAGAGTTGTCATTGTTCGGATTTGCGCCAATGTACATGAAAACGTTTTCCTCGTTGATACCAAGCTCACCATATTGTATGACATGAGAACCTTTGTTATACGTATTATGTACGGATGTCCTTGTCTTGACATGCAAATATTAGAAAGAAGAATATATAAGCTTAACTTACTTGACCTACGAATGTTAAAAAGAAAAATATATAAGTTTCATTTAGTAAGTTGTATATGTTAAAGATAATAGAAAGTTAGGGACTCTTATTAGTTTGTACTGCTGCCTTAGAGTTTCGGTTCTCAAATTATGAATGTCATTGCCCACCTAAGAGAAGTTATTATATTAAATCAACACATCAAGAATTCAATATAATGGAAAATTGTTGGCAAGGTAGTTAATGCAAGTATCAGTTACAAATTTTAACTGTGGCTGTTTTCACTATCCATTACAGGCTCTTGTAAGTCTAATATCTACTAGTATATTGTATAAAGGGAGATCCTCTAACTTTTGATGACTAGGGAATCCCTAGAGCCAATAATATTTTATATGCACAATGGAGAAATAGGTTTATCAATTTACATTTAAATGGATAGGAGGATGCATTTGCGTTCCATATGTTGACCTTCTTATAATACCCGAAGGAAGAGAAAAAAAAAAAAAACGACAAAAAAATACCTCGTATCCCGTCGGATCCACGAATCCCGCTGAATCGGCGCCGCGAACGATCACTTCTCCGCACTTCCTGCGTGAAATCGTCTCTCGATCGCTGCCCCATTCGCGTCGTTAAATACCAACCCAAACGAAGCCTTTCGCTGCTTCTCCCTTCGGCTCCACACACACGACGCTCTCTGCTCTTCCATCCCCCACTTGATCGCAGGAGCTCCCAACCCGTCGCCTTATACCCGTCCATTCCTCTGATCTCGATCCTCTGCCTGTGCCGACTCCCCAGGCAGAGAGAGAGAGAGAGAGAGAGAGAGAGAGAGAGAAGAATAAGAAGAGCGTTTCTCTCTTACCTTACCGCAAGCCGACCCGAGCTCTGTCCGACTCCCCCATCCAGCCGGCATCAAACCTCCTATACCCGAACCTCCTCCCTCTGAGATCGAAGCCAACCCGCCATTCTCCCTGCCCGATTGCCTCAACCCGCCTCCCCAGGTAATTAGGTAAACCTATTATACTTATTTTTATTATTATTTAATTATATTTAATTATTTTAATAATGGTTAATTATAAATTATTGTAATTACTATAATTAAATATTTTAACTATATTTAATTATTATAAATAATAATTAGTTTTAATTAAAAATAAATTATACAACAACAACAACAACATCAAGCCTTTATCCCACTACGTGAGGTCGGC